CATTTGTACTCCTGGGTGGGGAGAGGTAAAAAGAATGTTAAGTGTTATGCTCAAAGACAAAGGATGATGACAAGGCCAGGTCTTGAGCCCGGACTTCTCGCTTTCTAGTCCAGCGCACTTACCAGTAAATCACCGCGTCTCGCATCCAGGGTGGAGTAGCAATATTCCTGAGTGACCTATTATATGAAACCCCCCCTTTCGGGTGTTTTTAGTAACGTGTTTTGTTAGTCAATGATTTCATCCTCGCTTTTTTTATTTTTATCCAAACAGGAAAGGGAAAATCGAATCTATCGAAATTAAAGTGGAACAAAGAATGGGCAACAAAAAGGTATTTAACAGAGGAATTGACATTGAAATGGTTTCTCTTGGCCAAGGACTCGTCAGACATCTCTCAAAAGTATTAAGCAAATAAACACTTTGAGCAACGCGCTCAAAACCCCGCTTACAAACTCATGATGTTTAAGTCTGGCGTACTCTCGCAGAGGGATTCCCAATCCTTGTTCACGAGGCAGAAGTTAGTGAGACAATACGAGAACTGAGCAACACTCGTGTAGAAAAGTATCCTTATGTTGTATTCGAGTTCTGTTACAATCTTTCTTTTGCCAATGAAATTAAATATGGCTTCAATAACAGCTTGTTATTTTAATTTTAGGTTACATTGATCCGTAATCTTGAAGCCTACGGGATTGATCCGCAAGAATTTGCTCACAATGTGCAAATTAAGGCTGCATCTAGTACTTCAGGTAATAAACGTGTTTATATCGAGGGTCATATTTTTTCCATCCTATAGACACAATACAAAAATATTCACACATCTCTTGCCTGTAACAATTCCTTTTTTTCCTTATAGTTTCTCAGCTTCCGGGGAAACATACTACGCCTGGATTGCAGGTTTTAGTGCAAGGAAACCAAGTGGACATCGTGGCGAAATTTCTTCTAGGTTAGTGTTTGGTCGTTTATACAACAGAGGAGAAATCTAGCTGTATTCTTGAAATCCAACAAATGTGCGTGGGGTATTGAGGAAAAAAGTGCTATACAAAGGGTAGTCACCTCATGAAAAATGTTCTTATTGATAGATGCTGCCAACTAGGACAACGGAATTTATTGGCAGAATTACGGTTTTTCTTCAGAATATTCTCTGGCAAATGCGGGTTGTATTTGGAGAGTAAAATTTATGCATAATATCTAACAAACTTAAAGTTTATTTTCCGCCCTTTTGTAGATGAATACAAGATTCCTAAGAAGTACATCAATGGACTTGACTTACTCAAAAGCGGCAAGAAAAAGAAAAAATAAGTCTGATAGTAATATTATTTTAATTATTATGACAAAATAAATGGGCCTTTTACACGGTGCTTTCCTCTGGTTTCGATTCTCTAACAACAAAAATATGTCATGTCTACAAAAAAAAAAACTTGGCGATTAAATAATTTGCAATGCCAATTCTAAGGAAATTCTTAGGTACATTACCTAGGCAGTGTTTCTTGTTCTAAGCCATATGTTTACTTAAGAGAGTGCGCCAACTGTGGGTAAGTCCCTTAACTAAAACAAAATGCCCTTGAGGTAAACATGCGGAAACCAACATTCCACTCTGCAATGAGATACTGTTTCGGTTACAGAAGCTTACTATGTGGCGCTAATTTAGTCCAATGAAAGTTCGTCTATATCAACCGCTGGTTGCTTAATTTGTCTAAAGTTGTTGGCAAAAAATTTACGAAAGCACTGTGTCACTGCTCCAGCTGGCAAAACATTCCTATAGTCCAAGAAATTGGCAAATTGCATCATGGCTGGTGGAGCTGCTCTATCCCCTGATGAAGGGAAGTCTTCCTTGGCGTCCATCGTGCCCCTCCAACTTTCAACATCATCACGAATTGCATCAAGCATACGACGCCTCAAGTCAGGCTCCGAGCTCATCCAAACTTTGAAATAGGTTAAGTTCCAAAAGAAGTCGAATATGTTGAGAACGTCTTGAGCATCGATATTGGGGTAACTCTGCCTGACTTCTTTCAAGCGTTCCACGACGGACCTCTCCAGGGGTTCTAAGGTTTCAACATTGCAGTCCGTGTCGCTGTAAGCGATGTTTATCATCTCATCGCTGATCTTCAGGTAGATATCTTTCAGGTCGTGATATCGATATCCTTCACTTGCATCATCAGTAGCTTCCTTCCTCTCGGTGTGATTGTTGCTTTTGGGTGGATGTTCCACAGCGGCATCACCAAACTGTCCATGGTTTTTCTCTAGTGAACTGCACGCTTTCTTCAGCTCTTCTTCTCCATTCTTTATTATTTCCGCTGCCAGTTCCTCAGGATTTTCCATAATCTTCTCAACCATCTCGGCGAGGGACTCGAGAATCTTTGGGTCTTCAATGTAGTCTACTCCAAACAGGTTGTACGATCTCACGAAGAAATGTCGCAAATCCTTGTCTTTCAAAGCTTTCAACAGCTTCCCGAGTAGTTTCGTCATACACTCGGCCCGTCTTCTCTCGGTCCACATCTCGGCCCCAGTTTCCTCTATTGTTTGTAAAAAGAGGTTCTTGAGGTGGAATGACTCCAAACCTTCCGCATTGGAAAGATAAGCACGGTAAAATTTCTTTAAACATCGGTAGCACTCTCGTTGGATGTCGTTCATGTCTTGACTCAGGAGGTACTCTGCGTGAGAAAATGAGATTCTAAAGTCGCAATCAGGATTTCCATTTTTCTTTGGCGGCTTTACCACCAAATGGACTCCTTCCTGAAAAACCCTTTCGACCATTTTTGGGGAAGGCCATTTGCGCTCTTGTTTGAGCCAATCTTGAGCTACCTTCGGCCATCCATGAGATCGCAAGGCGGGAACAAAATCTATTCCGGATGCCTGATGATAGGAATTCGTTCTTGTAACGTTGTTGGATGGTTCCGTCCCGTGTGGGGCATTTCCTGTCGTTTCATCCGTCTCTGCTAACAACAAATGTTGAATCCAGTCATTATACAGTTTTCTTAGAGACTCGGTCGTCTTAGTTTCTGCCTCAGAGGTCTTCTTTTTCTTTGGTGCATGAGTTTCCTTCGCCTCACTGCGCTCTTCATTACGATTGTCTCCAATTCTGTCTTCATCTTTCCTTTCGGCTTCTTGCGCAGGTATAACGTTAACCGATGTGGAATGGCTCAATGTAGAAGAGACGTCTCCATTTGAGCGTCCACCCTCGTATTTCGTATGAAGCATGGCACTTGAGGTTTCGCACACACTGGCTTGTTTTTGTTCTGGAGAAACAAATTGTTCCTCTTTTCTTTCTTCTGCAGGCACTTGCAAGAAGATCCCTATCTTCTCAACTAGCGAGGGAGCTTCAATCTCTCGAAATCTATTCGCAAGCCCTTCCGCTCTATTGCTCAAATAAAGCTCTTGAAAAACAGATGACAAGGACAGACAATTCTTTTGCTGTTCTTTAATCAAATCACTCAGAAATTGCACAAAGTCGCTCACTACTTCGGCGTGTTTCCTTGTGTACTCGATTCCTCTCCCCATGCAGATTACATGAGCCATCAAATCCCAGTCAGCTGCCTTCAGAGACCCTTCCGGAGACAAATAATCTTGGGTATCGAGGGTTGTCTGGTCGTTGAAAATAGTGCCAAACCTCTGGGAAAAATCGATAGTGACAGCTGGACTCGAGGTCTTGTTCTTTAGGTAGGTGTTGACATGTTCCAGCGAAAGCTTCCCAAGAGGCAGTGCGGAAAACGTGCGTGTCAAACGTTCAACTAAATCAGGCAGTGAACTCCCATAAATATCTTTATGGAACTTTTTAATGGCAGAGGCGGCTAAGTACTGTGTACCATCATAAAGACAGGATTGAAATACGGGACGGTCGCCAACTTTGATTCTCACATGCAGTGGATTGTCAGGGGAATATTCGAGACAATTCTCGGGAATTATGAGGTTCTCAGACGTCGGAAAGGCCATGATGTCCACATCGCCAATATCGTTGGGTTCCAGACACTTTAAACCTTCAGCGGCGCTTCCATAAGGACGAAGCGTGATTTGACTTTCCGGATTAACTTTGCTCAAAACTTCCGATATATGATCTAAAAGACAATTGTACTCGGCCCTATTTCTCTTCAGTTCCTCATACACTTCTTGCCATTGCTGCCCAACAGACTTGAACAATGAATTTAGCTCTTTGGCTTTTTCGTCTTCTTTCGTGGCGTCCATTTCAGTGAGTTAATTAAATCCAATTTCCTGATACGCGTCGGGTTTACAATCTTCTTTTTGCAAACTCTCAAAAACTGATATACATTTTTGGGGATTTCGGTTTCCAAAGAAAACTATTTCTAGAATGTTATTCAATGCCTCGCTTGTAACGAGACTGCAGCGGTGGTCGTAATAGATCAAACTGAATGATCGACTGAACTGAGTGTGAAAGAAATTAGTAAAATGCGTTTGTTGCGCTTATCGTAGTGGCTAAGTCAGCCCACTACCTACTTTGGGCAATAATCAAGTGAACTGTTTTACAGCAGCAAAATTAATGGGACGCTAATAAAAACTTCTTACATTTTCACTCTAACTTGACACCGAAGTCGATTCAGGTACTTTCAAGAACACATCAAGCAGCATTTCGGTTTCTGTCAGTGGCAAATTTGATGAGGTCATGTGCATTCACAACCTCGTTTCCAGGGTCTCTCTCTCTTCTCACTCCTAAATATTGTGATTAACACGTGCGCAACCGAAAGTTGTTTTCTTCACAACTGTTGGTCATAAGTTAGTAAGCATTCTGTTGCAGATGGAATAAATGGAAATTTCCTTTTCATTTCAGCATTTGGTCACTGCTCAGTGGGTTCTGTATGAAACTTGTGGTTGCCACTTACATTGACAGTGAACAGAAGTGGTGTTGATAGGGCTGTCGGGCATTTGAGACACATGCGGTGTGGACAAAGAATACGGTGTTGTAATCTAGCTGTCCTCACCCTCTACACGCTTGGGGTTCATTGATTCCATGAATTCTAATGACGACAGCCCCTTAACAGCAACACGTTAGCTGAACATGAAGTAATTTAATCACAAAGTGTGCAAGTATAGATGTACTAAAAGCATAAGTTTTTAGCCCTAACTCCCACGAGTGACCAAAATCTTATTTGTCCTGTACCAATGCCAAATTAAGCATTAAGGTGATGAGAATAAAAGAAATGATCACCAACTAAAAGATTGAGTATCAAATAAATTCCCCTGGCCTGTGTTAAAGGAAAGTATGTAGAACAGTATGGAGAAGACAGATACTGATGCTGCCCCAAAATATGGAGTGCAACAACTGACTTCATTGCAAAGATATTCCTAAGCTAATAAGCAAGTGTAAAACAATAAGAAAGTGGAAAAAGAACCATCTCAGTGAAATCAAAATACTTTACTGGAAGCAATTTTTGATCCCTCAAAAATGCTGTGAAAAGATTATAAATACTGTACAGGTAATGAGGAAAAAACCAGGGGTTCCAAAACAAGCCAGTGACCACCAGAATTCTGCTGGCTACTCACCAACATGTCGCTGGTTACTCTGGTCAAAATAATTACCTTTCAATGGACTTTTCATGGACACCTACTTACAAACATTTTGAAACCCCTGGAAAACAATGTATCCCTTCAAAATTGTAAGTGCCTGAGCAGCTGGCAACTTGCAATGGAAACCAAAGGAACCCCATTTCACTAAACAAGTAATAAGTTATGAGAGAATGAACTGCTACAAAGGCACACGCAAGCAATAGAAGTAAAACTCAGGTATTTTATAACAGTACTAAATTTCCAATGACATTAACAATTGAATTTGGTGGTTTGACTTGATTTGCATAGATTTCAAATGGGTCTTAACTTTTCCCCTACAAACTCACATAATAAACCAACCATAATAAACACTGTAGACAGGTAACAGAAAAAGTATGTAATAAAGAACAATGAGAGTGATACCATTACTACTTCTAATGATAAAAAAAATTTGGAGATAATTAACTATATTTGTTTCGTGAATCCTGAGTATCAAGTGGGTGGGTTCCTGTAACACCACCATACCAGCCTTAGGTTATCAAAGAATCTAAGGTGACAAAAGGGCCTGCCTCACACCAAACAGCCAGACCTGTTACCACAACATGGACCCACTTGCACCCCACCCAATCCAACAGCTACATTTTGACCCAGAATTCCTTCAATATTCACCAACTGGCTAATCTAGACAAGGAAAACCATAGCTACAGCTGAATCTTCAAGCAATTTCTTGATTAAAAGCTACAGACTTTAGAAGAATATCTACAAATACTGAAATAACTGGACAACACTGTAAGTGAGAGAAGCCACACTGTTATTCCACATTGTCATCATTAAAGTGGCTGTCAGTGTCATTTGGCCTAGGTGAGGCACTGCGAGACTTTTGCTCCCTCTCCTCCTCCTCCACCCTTGGCCTGTCTTCTTCAGCTTCTCTCCCTGTTTCTTCCCTTCTTTTATAGTCTTCTTTCTCTTGCTCTTGCTTTCTGTCAGGACCAGGACTTGCACTTCTGAAATTAAAAACAGCTCAATAACCTTTCTGACCCTAAACAAGTTTACCCCAGAAAGAAGACTTTTTGCATTTACAATAGTAACTCTTCAAACCCACATGTACATCATTGTGAAATACAAGCCACATACAGTAGCACAAGTCAAATTAACACTCTGGGCCTTGTTGATCACAGGGTAGATAATGCAAACCCAAAATACAGACAAGATGGATTTCTAACCAGTGGATAGGTGAGGAAAAATATACTTTGCCATCCACTGGAAAGAGATTTATCAGTGAATAGTGTTAACCACCCTCCAAACAACCAGGGACTGCTGTACAACACAGAAAAGTTTCATGAAAAGAATTCACCCTCACCTTTCTCTGGTGATTTTCTCTTCACTTCGGCTGCGTGAACGGCTCTTACTGCGAGATTTTGAGGGAGATTTCGATTTCCTGTCTTCATTTGATGCAGAGCGTCTCCTCCTGAAACATGGGCAAAAAAATGGAGAAAAATGATGGTACCTCTTTCAACCTCTTTCTCGAGGTCCATACTGTAAGTTGTAGAATAAACTATTTGCACATAAATTTATGCCCTAAGTGCAACAGTGCTACAAATTCAACTGAAAAAAAAAACCAAGGTTCCATAACTTACAGTACAGACCAAAAAAAAATAACGACTGAGAAATAATGTACTGTAACAAAGCATTATGGTATGAACCAATATTGCTTTATTTTACAAGAATGTAAAATTAAATTGCTTGGCAATGTTGAGGTGTTGCAATGAACACAACCTTTGAAAGGTCTACAGTACTTTCTACTTCACAAACTTATCTAACCTTGGAGACTGAGATCGACTGTGACTGCGTCTTCGTTTGGGTGAACGAGAACGGGAACGGGATCTAAAGAATTAAATTGCAATGTAATTAGTTAAACATTCAATTGATTATTTTCAAAAGAAAACAGATTTTTAAAAAAATGAGCTTCCGGAGACAAATAAATGAAAGGTCACTGAAAACCAGAAATATTTACAACATGAAAGAAAAAAATTGCTCTAAGCTAGGGTTATTCCTGGGTCTCAAATTTTTTCAGATAATTCCAGATTTAGTCTAATCTAGAAAAAGAGAGGTTTTTGCATTTATTCCTCTTACTTACAGCATATTACTACTGAAAAAACACCTCATATCCCAGGCAAGAATCGACATTTCTTGCATTAATAAAACCTTTCATACTTCATCTTATGCAAACATGTCATTTTAGGGAGGAAAAATATATTTTCTCATTCATTTGACAAAATTTCAATGTATTTTATTTTGGAACAACTCCAACAACACAAGAAAATTCCTGCTTTTTTCCATAGTTCTATTTTAAGCTCAAGAGAAGATTTTAGAAACTTACAATCACCTGTATGTTTAGGTGGTTAGTTTGCTCTAATTATTAGCCAAAAAGAAACACATTACAGAAAAAAGGTAGCTTCATCTACAATGCTAGAATAATCAGTTTACATTTTAAAGGAAATGATCCGTGAATGATTCTCATCTTTACTTTACAGCCATACATTGGCATCAAATTTTATGACCACAAAAAGGTAATTAACATTAAGTCTAAACTTTCACAAGTATTGAATTTTAATCTGTAAGGTTTAAAAAAAAATTAAAGCTGAAGACTACCTTTAATTTTAGCAGAAACTCAAGGAGAAAACCATCACATTTATCAAAGTCGAAACATCAGTAGTTAAAATAAACATGTCAGAGACGACAGCTGACAGAAGGCAAAGGATCACATAATCTAATTAACAGGTTATAAAATTATAATTTTGTGTTTCTTTTATTGTGAGAGACAGGGTCAGAAATTGCAATTAAATGATCACCAATGTGACTGAAAATTGGTTATACACAACCAGAATTTCAATGCTTGATGCCAGCAGGCATCATGCAAACAAATGTCAAGAAATAACACATTTGCCATTTTCTCTTACTGTGCTTTTATACACTCAACTGACAACCCCTCATTCATGACTAAAAATGTATTTTAGGTCAATAAGGAAAATTTGGGAAACTTTAAATATTTGTTGGAGCTGGAAGGTGAAAATTTCACAAAAATGACTTTTTTGGCTACCAAATTGTTCCGTCTGGCAATCAAAACAGAGAAGTTTAATGGCTACTAGACACTCACATGAAAAAGTTAGTTTTGGACCCTGCAGTCCCGAATCTTTTGGAAAACTCACACACAATTAAATACCCTGTTACAAGCACAGGCAATTAACATGACTACCGGTAGTTGCATTTAAAAAGAAAAACAAAGGGATCAGTTAACACAACTGCATTAGTGAGTTAAGCCTCTGTTCCTGGAAGGCATCAGTATCACGTGAATTACCTCTCCACTTTTCACCCTCTCATCATTATAAATAATCTCTTTGCTTTTCTCTAAACATTTCCTAATGTGCTGAACAGGAGAGTTTGTCTTACTTCAAGAGCTCCTTTAGTTGGCTGATCAATTCCATTATTCTCCTGACCTTAATGTTTGATTCAGGGGTGATATTGTGAGGAGAAATTAAATGCTAGTCAGTCTTAGAGGTCAAAAGGTTAAGTATTAAGAAACCAAATTAATTTTAAACTGTTATCCATTGCTTAGACTACAGATCTTAGACAATTTGCATTTCTCAGCATTTTTCCTTTGCCCATCTGTAATAAGACTGAGATGCATGAAACACGCTACTGTGGAAAAGTTTGTACTTACTCACTGACAAAAGTAACAGAAGTGACGCTGTGAAGTGCGCACTAAGTTTGTCACAAGGGAAGTGATTTGTTTAAACCTGCACGCTCGTGGGTAGAGGCTAAAAGCATAAAGCTTGTAGTCGGAGAAGATGGTTGAACGCATGACGCTCGTGGATGCCGCAGGGGAGAGTAGAGTAGAAGAAGCACACTCAGGGTGGGTAGAATCACCTCTGAAGGTGTAGGCGACGCACACCGCATGCCAGTTGATTTCACAACTGACGCAATATTTACATAATCCTGATATATGAAACAACAAAACTCTGTATTATTAGTTAACAGTGTCTTGTGGGAGATATTTCCAACTTGTCACATGCTATCTACAAATATTTTGATATGTGATATAGATGATTTAATGAAAAAAAGCTTACATCTTTGGGTACACTAAACTTTGGGTTGCTTCGAGGGACTCTGATCGAAAAGAATAGACTTCAGACCTGAGACTTTCTCGAAATCAGTTCTACTTTCGGAGGAAAATAAAATGTACGTCGATTAAAGATTGAAAATGAAATCAGCTCACTTAGCTTGCCTATGGTTGCCTTTGCTTCAGGATAGAAGTTACTCTTAAGTTCCACTTTATACGTGAATACAGGTCATATGGACAAGATTTCGATTACTTCATGGATGAACGAACACCCTCTTGTGGGTATTAACTTACCGTGGACTGCGTGATCTGGAGCGCCGCCGCTCTCGATCGCGGTCTCGACTTCCGCCGGGCGGTCGACGTGTACAAACCCGAGCGTAATGTCCAACCCTTCCACAATCAAAGCATTTCTCCGTCAGTCCAAGCCGAGCAGCTCTTCCGCCACGACTAGGACCTCGAGCAAGTTCTACACGAATCCGTTCTCCACATACTAACTTTCCATCCATTTCACGGATCGCGTCGTCAGCATCCCGTGAGTCTTCATACAGAATGAAAGCAAAGCCTGGAGGATTTCGAGCGACCCATACGTCGCGAAGAGGCCCGTATCTCTCAAACTCACGTTCGAGTTCTCGCCTGGAACCCTTATTTCCCAGATTTCCGACGTAAACTCGAGCCATTTGGAAGCGAAATGCAAGTACTCCAAAAGTAATCCAAACAAAACCTTCCGTTCAAACTAAGCGAGTGTGAGGCAGGTGAAGCATACTATCCCAAAGGCCTTTACGTTACACACGAACTCCCGGATGACAAGCTTGGTATCCAGGCCAAAGATGGAGGACGTACTGCTTGGAAATAAATTATTAGACGGTTTGGCATGATATGTGCTGATCTTCCCAACTAACATGGAAGACGAACGAATTGCTGCTCTTATGAAATATGTACGTGGAGAAATAAGCTTTGAGCAGTGGATTGAAATAGGAGGAGGTGGATCGGGCGAGGCAGAGACAGAGGACATCGGCCTGCAAGATGTCGAGGAGGTCGGACGAGAGGAAGAAAGCCAAGGACGAGCAGTGGAGAGTGAAAACAAAGGCAAAACTACTGGCAAGTTATTTTATTTTAATTTGTATTTATTATTGAAAATAACACGTTTTTTACGGTCCTTTGATGTAATGCCCCACGCGATCATGAGCAGATAGACCCAGTGAGGTGGGGTGAGGGAGAGTGCGGGCCATAGCACCCAAGCTCCCCTCCCCCCCACCCCCCATCAACTTATGCCCTGTATTTTACTGTTATAAGAGGTCTTAGTAGGAATCAATGTTGAAGTTATTCAGAGGTTAGGGGAAAGATTTCTTCGTAACGCCACACTTCCTTGTACATGTAGTTGTTTGATAAATGTAAACAATGGTGAGAGCAAAAGTTTACCTTGAGGCTACAGCTATGATGTACTGTGAAAACTTAGGTCAGGTGATGACCTGCTGTGAGGGAAGTTCATGTATACTACACAAAGCAGCATGCCTGGTTTTGTTTTTCAGATATGATCACTGTTCTTGTATCAGAGCCAATGTTTGCAAAATTGGCAGAAATTGGATCCACAGAAGCACCAACCACAGATCTCCCAGGTGAACCACATCATGTTCCTGATAGTGATCCAAATGAATGCAATATGGAGTCACAGACGGCATCCCAGCCATCAGTTCGAATGACAGATCTTTTGCTCCAAGGAGCTGCAGCAAAAAGTGCCAAGAAACATGGTGGTACTGGTGTTGATGAATTCATGGAGGAGATTCCTGTCCAAAAACGGCGAAGAGCTGGACGTCGTAAATTGTATGAGTTACCTCCAAAATTAAAGAAAACCATGGGTCAAGCTAATATTCTGTGGGCTAGAGGAGAAATTGAGAAAGCTAAAGGAATCTGTATGGAGCTTATTCGACAAGGTACTCAATAAATTGTAAATTGCAAACATAAACCCTTTGAGAGAGTGATGGGCATCTAATTTCTCCTAACAGTATCATCCCTTAATCAAGCACTAAGGTCACAAGAATAGAGGAAATTATCACCAACTAAAGAAGCGCGACTGAATAAACAAAGTCTCATTGTCAGCACCTTAGGAAATATATAGAGATTAGTAGGGAGAATATGTATACTGATGTTAGGGTGTAAAGGGCTAATAGCAGGTGTGTAATAATTGTGGAGCTTAAAAGTTTCGGATCAATATCAGTACCTGGGCAATTGCCCACCTACCCCTCCCCTAACCCAACATTAACCCTAAGTTGTTATCAACTGACTGTTGTTGAGTTTGGGGAGGGGTAGGTGGGCAGTTGCCCAGATACTGATATTGATCCAAAGTTTCTTTATTTTGGTATCTTTAAAATACTTTTCTTTAGATGTGCAAAGCTTTGGTGATGTGTCCAAAAAATTGACTTTGATAAAGCTTCACCTTTATGACTGCTAAGAGTTAATCTTTTGGGTTCCTTCACAGCCATTCCTTGCAGGTTCATACAACATGGGCTTCATCCTTAAGAATGCCATTGAAGGAGACCTTTTATCACTGTTATGCAAGCTTACGTACCATTTCATTTCATTAATATGTAGCTGCACTGTAAATGACACAACATTTTTTTTTTCATGTTAATATTTTTATCTGAATAACAATTTTCAGTTCCAAAGTGTTCAGAACCTTTCCAGACCTTAGGAATGATGTATGAAGAACAGGGAGACCAAGAGAAAGCACTGCAGGTATTGTTGATATTAGGTTGGCTGTTCTGGGATTTGATGGAAAGAGTCAGTCTCAGATTAAACACAATTTCTTTGTTATAGGCTTGTTACTGATCTCTTTCCATTTAACCCTTGACTCCTAAGAGTGACAAGCATCTAATTTCTCTTTACCTTATCACCCTTAAATCACACAATAAGGTCAGGAGAATGAGAAAAATGATCACCAAGGAAAGAAGCTGTTGATTGTTAAACAAATTCTCCTTGTCAGCTTCTTAGGGAATGTATAGAGAACAGTTTGGAGAATATGCAAACTGACATGTGGGTGTAAAGGGTCAAATAGAAGAAAGTGTTTTCTTCTCAACAGTTTTTTCTGATTGCTGCATATCTCAGCAAATCGGGAGATTTGGAGGAATGGGTTAAATTAGCAATGATGTCCCTTGAACAGAATAATTTGGATCAGGCATTAACCTGCTATAATCAAGGTAAGTAAGATATTTAATTTTTATGAGATGTTTGAAATTTTGTTCAGCCATTCATATTAATTAATGTTATCCATTGATAGAAGGCTAAGCAACTTAACCCTTGCATAACCTCTCTTCAACCCAGGGTATAAATGGGTACCAGTGAGTAACCAGGCAAGTTTGATGAAATGCTAGAGGGTAGCCTTGTAATGGACTTGAATCTCATCCAGGGGGATATAGCGATACTCATAGTTGCTAAGGAATCCAGGATAAGTTGGGTGGGCCACTTGGAGAGAGACAGACAGACTTTACCTGCCTTTGCTGACAAGAGGCAAAGTCTTAAATAAGGCCAAGTGAAGCCATCATTAACATTGTTAGGCCACATGTTCAAGCCAGTTAGAATATGCAAAAATGGTGAACAGTAATAAGGTTATTTGTCTATTGGATGATTATAATTATCATCATGATCAACAGAAATTGAAAATTTGCAGTTCAAGACAATATGTCTGTGCAAAACAATTCAATATTACATGAATGATACTACTGAGGAAATTTAAAGCTGGAATAACTTTTGACAGTTATGACACCAAAGCTCATGTCATACCCATTTTCTGTAGCTCTGAAGCTGGAGCCGACAAATTTAAATGTTCTTTGGGACAGAGCAGCTTTGTGCTATCAGATGGGAGATCATAAGAAAGCTCTGGAGTTTTACGAATCTGCCCTAAAGGTAATAATTTGGGTCATTTTTTCATTTAATTGGTGGATAATTCTATAAATGTATTGAAACCAATTGTCAATTTGTTATTGATTATTAATTATCAATTAGTCATTATTAAAAAGGCTTATATTTGATCATGAATTCATGCAGGTTGTTGAGCAGATTGAAAGATGTTCATGCATTAATTGTCCTAGAATTTATTTTGGTTGGTCAATTTACTCTTAAATAAAACTAAAACTTGAATTTTTACCCACTTGTAGAATGTTCCTTCAGATGATGGGGCAAAGTTTGTTGAGTTGTCTTGTGAAATGGCTAAGGTGTGTATCTTAGTTTCTTACTGACAGTAGACAAATTCTGCTATTTGCAAATATATTAAGATTGGCAGGCAACATAACAGTTGCTTTAAGCAAGGAGGGACAATTCATACGTAATTAGGCCTTTATTAGTTGTAGTACTGAGGCATGAGGGTTCTTCCCTTGTAAATAGGTTTTAAGGTCTTGAGCAACACTAGCTGGTAAGAGGGCTGAAGAGATCTGGCACTGGTTATGAAGTTGTCAGTTCCAGTGACCTCTTACAGACCTCTTGCCAGCTTGGGACTTGTCTGCAGCTTCAAACTTTCTCATAAGTGAAGAAATTCCCTTACTGAAGCACTAATTGTGAGGGCTTTCTGGCAGACCATGGACAACTGAATATTTGAAGGATGAAAGTAATGTTTACAGAGGAGTTCCTTGCTAAAGAAACCAATTGAAATTGCTTGTTGTACATTGTCCAAAGCTACTATTCATATGAAGTATATCTGCACTATTTTCTTTTCTCAGTTGTATCATGAAAACAAGTCCCTGGATGAGGCAATAAAAGTATTGCAAACTGCTCTTTCTAAACATCCTGATCATGCAAATAACCAAGGTAAATTGTTTGTTTTTTTTGTTCGTAACTGTAACAGATTTGAGAACCTACTACCAGTACCCTTCCCATCAATTTACAATGCATTGTAAATATTCTCAATTGTTTTTTCATTTGTTTGTTTTTCTTTTATGGTGGTGTACAAAATGTATAACAGTATACAATGTTGGGTTCCTAATACTGATCATGAACTGCATGTCTTAAGGTTTTAAGACAAGTTTTATTTTACTACTATTTGGAATTTCTTTGTCAATTGTCTTGTGTCTGATTGAAGCACTTTGCTTAATTTGCCACAATGGAAACTTCTGTTTAAAATTGTTGTAATCTTTTTTACTTGAATACTCTTGTTTTTAGCAATTAACATGTTGGCTGACCTTCACATGACGTCAAAAGATTATAAGCTTGCTTTTGAGGTAAATATGGCTCTTGCTTACAAGACTAAAAGTCATTTCCAAACTCAACACATATACAATAGAAATGTGATACAATAAGTCCTAGATTTTTTTTTTTTTTTTTTTTCATTGTTGATTCATGGCCTGTGCACTTCCTGCTTTGGGAGTATAAAATTGAAGGGGAAATGAAATAGTGCATAAGTCACAGTACAGACCTCAAACTCAGTAAATAAGGGAGATATGTACTAACCAAATGTTATCTGCTGAGAATGAAACTCAGGGCTAGGCTGCTTACTTTACTTCAGTCACCTAAACTACTCTCAGAGTAAGTTGAAATTTTTTTTGCTATATGTTGCAGATGATTTCAAAGTATTGTGATGTCAAACAAGAAGTCATGTCACTTGACACAGGAGAGTCACCTCTGACGTCATTTTCACAACTTATGAATGATGAAGCTCAGGAGGGAGACATTTCAAGATCTCCTGAGAAAGACAGTGGTCACAAAAAAATCAACTATATTATACCTGAAGACCTTCCCATTGATCTTTGTGTCAAGTTCGCCATATGTCTTATTCACTTGAGGCAGTTACATGCAATTAAGGTATGGCATATGGTGCTAAAACAAGAAATGACAGGTTTCATCAACCTTGTTCCCAGGGTTCTCTCTTCTTTCTTCTTGAGGAAAAAAGAGAGGATCCTGGAAACAAGGTTGGAGTTTCTTCTTTACATGATTGCAATATAGGATCACATTTTTTTGAAACTTTAAAAACTTTTATTCTAGTTATTAACTGTTATCCTAACTAACCAATCCAGCTGGATTCAAAAGGTTGGGTAGCATTTTGTCTGTCTTGGGTTTAAACATCGATTGCAATTCAATTAGTGACTTAACCTGAATTAATTTAACACCCTGTGTTAAGCAGACACTTGCGCAGTTGGAACTTGTCCGAATTCGGATGGAAGAGTCCGAAACTGAATACTTGAGTTTTCCGCGTTTTTACTTTTTTATTTTTTATTTTGTGTTGTTGTTTGTTCAATAGGAGATTCTTGTACCACTATTCATGGAGACAGTTGAGTCAGCAGGTGACCTTTACATTGATGTTGCTGAGGCTTATGCGGAAAATGGTGAGACAATATTTTAGTTTTATCTTTGTAAGAATTGAGTTCAGGGAAACGAGGCAGAGTCCAGATGGTTTTAGGATAAGGAATTGATGAGTGCCAATTCATCTGAGGAAATTTTGAGCAAAATGGGCCAATGACACCTAGAAAACTTGTCACATGTAACTACACATAATCATTCGACCTCATCGCCCGACCTAGATTAACAATATAGCAGTCGAAACGTTTTTTCTCCAATGAATAGTTGGTACTTCGCAATACAACGATGTAACGTTCTTTTAATTTATTTATAACCACATTTAAATGAACACACTTCTTTTGCTGAGCTAGGATTTTTGTATGAGGACAAGAACACCAGAAAAGAAATTTAAAAATGTAAGGGTATCACCTATGTATCTCTTTTTTTGTGTGTGTGTTAAATGTGTTGTAGGTGACTGTGAGGAAGCGTTACCCATCCTGGATATGCTGGTAGCGTCAAAAAACTTTTCACTGGTAGGTAGCTTTTCCCTCGCCCTTGTATTCTTCCGCACTTTATCTTTCACGGAAAGTATAAATTTCCCATTAGTTCTGTTTGAGCTGAGGTTTAAAACGAGGAGAGGTTGGCAAAGGGTTTATACGTGACGCGTGATCAAGAACTTTCTGGAAACAGAAAGAGAGGTCTTAGTGTCTTTAATTATGGCACGGCAAAAATTGTGCTACGAAGCTTATGAATGAAGTTAATCCGAAGAACAGCATATAAATTTCATCAACCAAGTTGACTATGTAAATTGGCCACCGTAAAAGGTTTCTAAAGGCTGACATTTCGAGCGTTAGCCCTTTGTCCAAGCTCGAAATGTCAGCTTTATCAACTCAGTTTATAAAACAACCCAACCACCGACGCAGCTCCAAGTTGCTTTAGAAACTTACTTCCGTTTATTCATTTTGCTGAAAAACAACAACAGTTCCTCAATTCATTTTAGGCTGCAGTGTGGCTGAAAAAGGGAGAATGTCTGACGTCACTGGGCAGAATAGAGGAAGCCGCTTCAGCTTATTCAAGAGTTGTTAATTTAGCTCCAAATCATCTGGATGCTCGTCTTGTCTTGGCCTCTCTTCATCAACAGCTGGGAAGACCCAACCAGGCTCTGGATGTGCTATCAGGTAAATGACTCAAAGCGGACGAGAAGAGCTTATTATTTAATTACATTTCAACGCCATCGTGGTTTCTGAATGTAGCTCATGTAAAACTGAGGGAAAGTTTGTCTACTTAGGGTGCGCGGACACTATCGTCCGAAATGGGACTCTATTGGATGGACACTCTTCTCCAAATTAAGGCACTACTTTTAGAAATCGGACACGATTACAAGGCAAAACTCGGACCACATCTTCCAAAATCAGACCGTATTGTCCAAAATCGCACTCTATCGTTCCAAGTCAGACACTATCGTCGGAATTCGGACACTGTCGTCGGAAATCATTGTTCTGTCCTTTTATCCTTTAACCTTTTATCTAAATCTGTTCTCCCGCTTCTTTTCCCCGCTCTTTAAACTCATAGCTGATCCAAGAGGAGAGGGGATTGGAGATTCTGTTGAGGACGAGGTTGCCATGGATACGAGTTCTGTGAACTCCGAGGGTACTGAAACGGAGCCTGCAGTACAACCTCAGGTTGGTTGACCCTCGACCTTGCCACACTGATGAATTTTTGATTGAATGACTGCAAGTTTTTCCTTTATTATTTTCAGGATTTTCGTTTGCTCTTCCACAAGTGTGCGCTGTTACACTCACAGAGTCGCATGAATGAGTTTTTGGACGCAGGAATAAAGATGTTTCGTTTGTTTTTCATCGATGTGTATTACATTAAAGATCTAACAGGTTTGTGAAAAATCGCATGTTTGTGTTTTTTTTCCTCTTTCGTCTTTACAAAAACAGAAGTTACAGACACTTGTGATATATTTGCCATTTTGTTTTTGGTAGACATGGCCTTGAAGTCCAGTAGATTCAGAAGGGAACTGATGCAAAAGGAAGCGTTGGAACAGGAAGAGTCGCGGTCCCGCGCAAGTAAGATATTCTTCTCTAAGTTGTCTTATTTCGTGACATGCTTGCGTTTCTATGAAAAAGTTTATAATGTAATAATGACGACTAGCCTGAGCCATCACGCGTCGCTGTTGTGAAGGAAACGTGACTCTGTAATAATCGTCACGCCTAACTGTTTACATGGAGGAAACGTGACTTTGTAATAATCATCACGCATCGTTGTTTACAAAGAGGAAACGTGACTCTGTAATAATCGTTACGCATCGTAGCTTACATGGTGGAAACGTGACTCTGTAATGATCGTCACGCATCGTTGTTTACATAGAGGAAACGTGACTCTGTGATAATCGTAACGCATCGTTATTTACATGGATGAAAAGTAACCCTGTAATAATCGACACGCAATGCTGTTTACATGGAGGAAACGTGTCTGTAATATGATGATTTATTAAGATAACGTATTTTCTCGAGTTATTATTGTTATTTTTATTCTCATCTTTTATTAGCGTTATGATTGTTTTGTTGTTTTTTTAGGTGTTGTGGCCTGTAGTCGAGGAGACACTGGGCTGAGAATTGAGGAGTGGTGGGAGATGTTTAAAAAGGTAAGGAACATTGTTAACTTGTTGGCAAATTTTCTCATTCGATTAATTAATTGATTGATTGATTTCAGCGATTGTAGAGTCTCTGTGGCTTAGTGTCGCGCGGAATCCGATGATCTGAGGTTGGACTACTCGTGGGGCTTAGAATTTTTTCTTTGTCTCACGCTCGCGAGAAGAAAGAAAAAATCTTTCTCTGTCTCATTATCGAGCTTAAATTCACCATCTTTTTTTATTCTTATTATTCTAATGATGATTAGGTTTTCGGAAAGAAGGTCGATTTGACGTCCAATATTTTTTCCTTTGTTTCCAGGTCGTCTCAAGTCTAAGTGGCTTGAAGCGGCACTCTGAGGCACAACATATGGTATTATGTGCGCTGGCCTCTGATCGCTTCTCCGACTCTTATCAGACAGAACTGGTCTTTATGAGTATTGTAGCGTTGTACCTCAACAGAGAGTACAAAGTAGCGTTTGACGCAACAAAAATACTCATTGCGAGGGACAAAAAGAATCCAGTCTTATGGAACATACTTTCTCGAATTACCGCCAGGTCTGGGGACTGCAGACATCAGCGCTATGTGTTGAGGCTTTTGATTAAAAGTCCTGATGAGTTTCCGTTAGTTATGTTCAGCGGTCATAATGCTCTGGTCAGCGGAAGTTACCGATTCGCAGTAGGTAGGGGTCCTTCTGTTACAGGCTAAGTATTTTAGAGAGGTGTAAGCGAGTATTGTGAGTCTATTGCAAAAGCCAATCACAGCAATCGTGGGTGACAGAGCGCACCAAATCAGAGAAAATTTACGTGATCAGCATCAGGCACTGGTAGTGTAGATTCTGATTGGTTGAGAAATGACACGAGACACAGGATTTTTGAACCAATCAGAGACAATACATGAAAGCAAACTTTATTCTCGGTCAGTTTGGGTGGTCGATTGAAAATCGCTCTATTTTGAAGTTATAGAATCCCTGACTACCAGGATATATTGTTTTACTCCTTAAAGTTCTCATTAAATCTTTTTTTTTCTTTTATTTTCTTTCAATTTTAGGCGAATACGTTCGAGCTTTCCGCCAAGCCCCAGAGGATCCTTTGATCTCGCTATGCTTAGGCCTGCAGTACATTCACTTAGCTTGCCAGCGGTTTCCAAGGAACCGACACTTTTGTGTTGTGCAGGTAGCCTGATTCTTCGGCTTGACACCAAGTCGTTAAAATATGGAATGTTTAGTAGTAGATTTTAAGAATGGATCTATTTTTTTTGTCAATAGGGTATTATCTTTCTTTTTCAATATCTTGGTCTTCGCGGCGAATGTCAAGAGGCGTTTTACAACATTGCTCGTGCTTTTCATCAGTTAGGTAAGTTCCTCGATGTTAAAGTTTGAGAATTTCCTTCATAACTGGAAGGCCCATATGTTACTCTTTTATAATCCTATAATTTAGCCTTTCTTGTCTCCACAACATGTTGAAAATCAGCAGAATATTCGCTCAAAAGCGAGGCCATGAGGGGATGTTTCTTATTATAGTCGTTTATTCATGTACCTGTTTTTTTTTTTTTTTTTAGTGTTTATGATGTCGATTTTATTGCAGGTCTTCTTCAGTTCGCTGTCCACTACTACAACAAAGCTTTGGAATTCCCTCTACACGAGGCCTCCAAAAGCGACGGAAGTAACCGTGGGAAGGTATGGCTAGTCAACGCTAAAGGTTGTTTTCAACTTCCAATTTTCAATTTTCGATTTTCAGTTTCAACTGTTCAAATTTTTAATTTTCAGTTTTTTCACTCATCATTCTTTAATTCAGTTTTCAGAAAAGCACGATCTCCACAGAGAAACAGCATTTAATTTGTCTTTGATTTATCGAGCAAGTGGAAACGAGATTATGGCTAGAGAATTGTTGATGACTCATTGTTGGGTGTGAAGGATCTTTTCCATAAACTTACTGCTTGTTGTGAGAGACTTGATAACACGCCGAATTCCGGTCGAGAGGCCTGGGTTCAAGACCGATTGGGGGCATAGTGTTGTGTTCTTAGGTGAGACATTTTACTCTCACAATGCCTCTCTCCACCAAGGAATTTAAGTGGGACTGGGACTGGGACTGGGACTGGTGACTTCATGCGATGGAGTCAAAGACAAGCTCTGTTGCCTGGTGAGTCACGTGCCTCGAGTGCGGACCAGTATTCGTTCGATAATAACTTATTACACATAAAACATATATTTATATGTAAATATTTATTTTATGAAATAGATATTTGTACATAAACAAATGCGATGTTCAAAATAAAGAAAACGTTTGCAGTAGACCATTTAGAATTAATTTTGTGGGGCTTATATCATAATTTTCTTCTCGCTTAAAATCTCTTTAAGCAAACGAAGGTACAATTTTTTTGCCGTTTATTAATGTTTTCATGATACTTTTAATCCATAACTGCATAAGGTGGTCGAAAGAACACTGCTCTGTTTCCTTTTTATAACAAACTTGCTTTTAGCATCCAGAGTGGACATGAGTTCACAAGAATGTTCCTCAACAAAGCGTCTCCAAACTCTTGGTCGGCCAAAGACTTAGTTTGCCCAAAGCGCGAGAAACTGGGCGCGAGCGGGTGACTGAGGACGAGGCAACTTTTCCCTAAGGACAGTTCAGTAAGTCCTACTCGCCCTAGATACGTGTTCACATGATGATTGCGGTTTTAGGTATAAGCTGATGTCAAGAATTTTAAATACTTACTCAGCTTTTGTACCAGATCTCTCGTCCTTATTCTGATGAACACGTGTAAATTAAACTTGTCTTGAATAAATAGCTGATGGGTTTTTAACTGTTTTTCTGCTTTTTGTAAAACATATATCTCGATCGTGGTATTTTCAATGTCAACATAAACTCCCATGTTTAAATATTGGGATTAAAAACTTCTGTGGATCATACTTGAGTTGTTTCAACTCGGACTGGTTTCTGAAAGTGGCAGAATCATAAACATAAAGTTGAATATGTGACAGAAAACTTAATCGTCGTAGAAGTTGTGCCTTATTTGTCCTTTCTGTTCTCTTGGTTTTTGATGACCGTCGTAAAATTGATTTCCGCTTTATTACAAAACTTTAATCAGAAGAGGTCACCCACGTATTTACTGCGAAAAATCACATTAATGTTTTAATAACTAGACATCCTGTTAAAATGTACTTATTTCACGACAGGGGATGAACTTTATCAGTTACTAAAGTATAGTTGTCGGATGAGATTCACTATCCTGACATTTCTTTTGAGTGTTTTGACAGCAATATCGAGATGGATTTGAATCAGTTTATTATCCAGGCATGTCCTGTGGCGCACAAGCGTTTCCTTTGACTTGATGCAGCATATTTACCCTGCTCGTTACAAATAATCACAAATGAATATACATCCGTCAGTCGTTTATTATTTTTTAGAAGAAAGCAATCTGATATTAGCGGTCTTTGTTAAGTGTTCGAGAAAATGTTATCTTGCTGTAGAAATGATAGTTCCAAAAACCAAATTTATTTTCATTAGTTAAATGATACCAATTATTTCATTATCTTATTCATAGAGGAAATTTGCCTTATCATACTGAAGATAAACAATTGATTTTCCATCACAGCTCAATTTGTGTTACTTCCTCGTCTTGCCTTATCCGTAAATTTCAAACCTGGTTGATTTAAATCTGTCTGCCCGTGAACTGCCTATTGTCAATCAAAAAAAATAGACTTGCACCCCGTAAAAAAGTTTCCCATTTGCGACTCGCTTTTTCAAAAACGCTTGGAAGCATATTGAATACACTTTGCTTTTAACACGATCGAGTAACAGTTGGGCAAATAATGGTCGGTTTCACGGCGAACAATGCCTTTTTAAAACTACGTCAGAAAGTGAAACACGTTTTCTCCTTTATCCCGGGAAAAAGAGCTGCAGAACACTGTGTTGTCACTAAGGAAAAATAAAGAGAAGAGTTCACCTCTAGATGTCCATATTTTAATCACCACCTTTGAGAATTTTTGAAAAAAAACAAAAGTAATAAAACATCTTGAAAAGGAAAACTGGAAGTTGACCCTATGATGTTTCCCTAAATAAAAGGTAAAACAGCATAAGGTTTATACAATGAGAGAGATTCAAGAACTAATTCAGCTATTTTCGTAGAAAAGGTTGTGGTTACTCACTGAGGTGAATAACAATAAAAGCTAAGTTTTTTCGTTTGTCTCACGATGTAGTCACGTGTGATGTAGATCGCACGTGACTACATCGTGAGACAGACGAAAAAACTTAGCTTTTATTAAATCAGCTATGTATGATAAAAGGCTCATAAGCTATGTTCAATAAAAAAGATACAAAAACTATTTACAGGAGATAAATTGGATAACATCGGATAAATACATCGATCCCTTCTCAATTTAAGACCATTAAGAACAATTTTTCTTCATTTTGATACAAAGCTTTACCGGCACAAAGATTTCCGAAAGCATAAACTTTTATCTTTGGTTTCCAATTTAGCATTTGATCCTTGTCGAAATATATTGAATTACACTTTGATATCAGTTGATCCAAATCTGTCCAATTATTGCAGTACGATCTTAATCTTCGAGAAAAGATTTGTTCTTCGCAGGTGAAGTTAATTAGATTTACTTCATTAAAACTATCTTGGTCTTGTTTCCGATCGCATCGATAAGGAAGCGTACTTGTTGAATAAACCGACGAGAATATTGACTTTTTTATCCTAACGATCTACTAAGCTCGGAAGATCCCTCCCCTGCTTGCATCCGTTTAATTGTAACCAAGTGTCACGCGTATAAATTCGATCGTTGCAACTGCTTTTGGATACAAGCAGGATCCGTGGAAGTATCTTCTAGTATTTTCAGGTTCGTAAACATATTTGTGAAAATGTAGCTTGTTAGCATTTGAAGAGGGTCTCTTCATTTTGTTATCAAAGCGATATTGAATTCAAGATCGTCTTTGTTCGGTTGTTGTTCAGTTTTGTCATCGATTTACTCCGAAGATGTGATGCAATGGACAGACAACTTTAGTTAAACACTTTCTTCTTCTTTTTCCCAAATTGATTGCATTTGACTAACACTCTTTAACACAAAAGGCATCAGATGAAAATGCTTTTATGTATCACGAAGTCTTCATCAGGTCTAAAGACAAGTTATCGTCTTTGTTACATAATTTACTTGAGCTGAATTTTCAACTGATTATATGTAATACTTGTTAAGAAACTGAAGATATCTGCTTTGTTATATGACTCGTAAAGTCTAATCTTAGAGCCACGTTAAATTGAATTTTGAAAGCCATCTGAATTTACTTTGTTTTAGCTTCAATCCCCTCTGTGATTGGTCCAGGAAACGTGCGCCATGCTCTCAACCAATCAGACACAAAACTAAAAACCAATCGCGACTGGGCTATCCGCGTTTTCCCGCGCGTCAGGTCGTGTGATGTTGACCTTTTTTCTTGATAGACCTATTTAGCTTGTATGTTTTGTTTACCCATTTTAGGTCATGTAATAATACTCTAGTCTATTTCTTTCACATTTTGTCTTATTCACGTGTATCTGTACGCGTAATTTATAAAAGATAAAGCTGTGAATTTCCCGGAGACCTGAAATGGTTAAAAAATAATTCTAGCTAAAAGTTTATTGCCTGCGGAGAATTTCTTTGATTTTTGCTTGACGACATTTTGTCGAAAGCGCTCTATCAGGCCATATTTAAAACTTAGCACTTTTTATTTAAAACATATAATTTATTTACCTCCTTGTTTCATAGATTTAATATCCGGGAAAGAGAAGCTATGCTCACGTACAAGGTATCCATTTGTTTTGCTCTGCTTTTCGCAACGTTTACAGTTTTGTGGGAATCAGGAAGTGCTTTCATCCGAGAAGGAAGAACATTGAACGTAAAAGTTTCTCAGGAATACAAAATATTTCCAAGAAACGCCCGCATAAACAAGAATAGCAATTTAAAAGGATATGTACCAAACACAATTAGAGGTGAGTAAAACTGATATCGTTTAAGTAAAGGATTTCACTTCATGTTTACAAAAAATCAAATTATGCAGATTTTCGTTGACTATTTCTTTTCTGAGCATGCCTAAATGAGTATTTATCATGAAGACCACGCCCAAGTAAAGGCGCTGAGTTCTTCGCGTTTATTCCTTTCAACGAGATCACAAAAGCATTTCCTGATTCGGTCATCATTTCTCCTATATAAAACTGCGAAGTCACAATGAATATAAACATTTGCAATGTTTCTCAGTGCTCTCCTTCTAGCTGTCCGATAAATTTCGAAGACTAAAGTCATACTGTCTTCTCTACAATGACAACAGCTAGAATTTTATATCCTATCTCACAACCTAGAATGAAACACCCTTAATATTTCTAGTTCTCTCTCCTTTCAAACAATATCTTTCTCGTTTTACTTCTGCAGGGTTTGTAAAACAGTCGGAAACTGACGACCACAGATAAAGTATTCCATACATGGTTCAGGAATTTTCCCGGTGTGATACCCCAAACCTTACATTGTTTACGATCTACCTGCTGCGAACAGACTTTGTAGATGCGAGGAAGTCTTTGAATGTCTCTGGATTTTATCTCCTTGATCACGCCTACTATTTTTGAGATGGAAAATAGATGCAATAAAAAGAGCGAATAAAGTTTTTAACATTTCATGTCCATATCAGATGCCATGTGTAATTTAAGTATAGAATAAATGTAATTCTCTTAAACCGGACCACTCCAGAAAACCCAAAATAATTCGCTGGAAACTTACCCACCGAAACTACAAATGTTGGCAACGGTTTTATACATACTTTAAGCCTCAAGTTGCTAATATTATGATCTGCATAACTCATGAAAGTTCGCTCTCTGCTACCGTTTGCACCTGTAATGTAGCGTAATTTCAGGACTGTTACTCTGAAAATGTCGAGAATAGGCCGACAGGAGTGAAATAACGAATTTCCTCTCATTTGGCACAAAGAAAGAATTCTACAACTTTTAACTTCTCATCGTTACGCAATTTTTGAGTATAGTAAAACGTCTATATTTGGCTGAAATTTTCAGCTTGAAATAAACTATGGAGTTAGAGTACGAAAGAAGTGTAGAGGAAACACGTGAAGCAGTCGAGTTTTTTCCCTACTTCTTGAGCATGTTGAGTACTCTGGCCGCTTCCCGAGACGAAACTTTATATATCATACAAGCGTAAGCTGTGTTTGAGTTTTATTAACGTCCTTAAGCCAATGACAATCTGAAAGCGTGAAAACCTTCAAAAACTCTAATAGTCCATTTCGTTTTCTCTTGGGTGTTTTTCGTGGCATGTTTACAAACCTTGCCGGCTTAGTATTCAAAGCCAGTTAATTCGCGCCCGCTTCCGCACTTATAAACACGCAACGTCAAAAGTCCTTTATAAGCGGAGTTCGTTAGGTAAATGAAGACTTCGGTTTACTCTCTAATTTTACATCTTAAAACAAATTTCATTGTCATTACCTTTTAGACTTGAACCGACACCGCCAATTAATCAATTATTAATTCAACTTTAAGTTTTTCTCTAACTCATTTGTCTAGACCGACTATTTATTAGTTTCCGCTTTATGGTTTTCAAGTCACTTGATGATTTTGGATCATTCTTTTTAATTACGGGAAAATGACTAAAAAAATATCGGTGCGGTAAATCTTAACACTATGAAATTGTCGTTAGTGGTCTTAGAATTTACAGCATTGATCGGTACTCTTTGGTATGAGAGGATATTTACATTGTGTAAACTGAATTAATCTCGTAAATTAAAGCCACTGTTATGAATTGTACGAACTAGCCCTTCAGAATTTGCGTGTTTTTCAGGTTTTACTGTTGATAGAACTTTCAAATGTAGTTTTACCGCAAAAATTATTGTGGTGGGGAGCAAACGTTCCAACAAAAGATCATTGAAATGTTTCATTCAGAGAAAGCATTTGAGTCCGTTTTTCATCATCATGAGATTACAAGCATTCAATCGAATTCTTAATTCAAAAAGTATTTCTTGCAGCATAATTTTGGTTGTCCAAAACGCAATGAAAGTTTCTCCGTTAGATGTAAATATTCCCTTACCTTACTCCATCAGCAATTTTGTCCGCACCGAACAAACCTAAACAAACGGCTTTTTACCCCTAGCTCATTTTCAATGAATTGTACAAGAGGTGTCATAGAAATTACCGAGGTGAAATGTTTCGTTGATTGTACCGACACAAAAAACCGTCATCCTAGTTAACTGGTAGTAAAACTGTAGATAAGTAAGTCCTTTGTTACTTCTACGACGATTTTCAGTCCTATGGCGCGTTTTTCGGTGAAAAATTGCCCTTCGATAATTCGTGAAAGAAACTTTAGTTTTTGATTAGGCAGAGCGGTTCGGTCTTTGCACACACACTTACAAGATACAATACCGCAGTAGGGTAGATTATGAAAAAATATAATTCTTTAGAAATTTGTTTAAAGAGTGAATCATTAAAAGCGGTAAACGAAGCCTAGACAATGGCTCTCAAAAGACCCACGACTATTATAGATGATTCATTAAAATTGTTTGTTCCCAGTGCTAAACAACGTTCCTTTCAAATGCGATATAATAAAACATAAATGAAAAGCAAAATAAACTGAGAAGGAATTACCATTAAAAATGCTGGTGGACATCATTAAAACTAAATATAGTGACTTTTGTTATAAAAAGGAAGGCTGCCGAAGGAAACGTTTAGACACCATTCGTCTAGCGATCTACTGACGTTTCAAGCCAAATAGAAGAAAATAGTAGCAGCAACATTATTCCTTAGGTAAGAATCTGTACTGGCTGTTGTTTAAAAGGAATCTTTGATCAGTGATTTGACTGCGTGTTGCGATCGATAGTTCCCTTTATGTTGTAGTAAGTGATTCACTTTTTAAATCTAAAATCTTAACTTCAAAACGGCCGAATACCGAATGAAGCGTCTTCAAGGTTCTTTTAGGAAGTATTTCTGGATTGGAAAGTTTTTGTACAGTCTGGGTGCAAAATTCAAACGATTTAAAAAAAAATTGATTGTTGGAAACAACTAAAAACAACTTTCATATAATACTACTTTTACTTGAAATATTTTTACCGGCTAATTCCCCTGTGTAATGGAGTTACGAAAAAAAAAACGTTTTCCAATCCAAAAATTCCGTTCGTAACTGAACTTTTTCTTCACTCGTTTTCCTTTATGCTTTTTTGATTCCCTACGGATTTTTCCTCAGAAAAATGCGCCATATGATACCGCAAACGAAGAATGAAACACCCTAAGCAAGATGCGACCTTTAATTTTGAAAAGTTTCTTTATTAAGTTTGTAATGAAACGGATTGTTATTGTTCGAATATGAAAGCAAATGTATATTTCCCTAGGGTAGATTAAGTTTTAGCATCATAGTAAACAACTTTAAATTGAAAACTGAAAATTTGTTAACGGTCGTTTTGAGGAAGGGTTAATTAATTGTCGCGCGTAAGAGAGCGCATTTACGTTGATAAGTTTTGCAAACTGTAGAAGTCAGCAGAATTTATTCAGCATCAACATATATCATTTCAAAGGTAGGAGAACTGGTGTTAACTGTTGTATTCTGGTTACTACTCAGTGAAAAAAAAATTGTACAATATCCATACTGCTCAGTATATTTGTATAAAAAACGTTGTAAAGTTATGCTTATTCTAGCTGCGCAAGCTGTCAGATTTCAGCGGCAAATAATGCCGTACATAAATTTCTCCGTGCGTCAAATGATGCTTTTAAGCAAATGCAGAAGACCCTCAGCAAACGAGAAATGTTTTTCGAGAGGCGACATAGGCGGTTCTATGGTACAGTTTTCAAAGCTTTTTGAAAAAATACCCCAGTGGCCTTTACTTCATTCTGGATAAATTTTGACCTGTGAGCTATGAAATTTTAGGTGTTTTGCTAAACCGGAATATATAATCGTTCCGTTTTCAGGCTTAAAACTCACCGTTACAGACTTTTTAAACATCTGTGGTGTTTGAATTCGTTCCCGCGAAGCTTTTTCAATAGCTATCTGAACACAAGTAATTTCTGCACCTGGCTGTGCTTTAGAGACCAAGACGGATTTTTTCATAATTTTTAGCAACCTTCATCTGTGAATATCGCTGGTTTTAGAAGGTCACCGTAAGGTCTAGAAAGCCGCTCAATGATTGATTAAGTAGAAGGAAAGACTCCACAGCAATTAAAATTATTCCGTTTGTTTTGAACTTCATTTAAAAAGTCTGAATTACTCCTTTCCTCGTTAGTTATCTTTTCCATAACTAACATTAGCTTTCCGAAACTGTAATGGCTTCAGTTGTTTGTTGTCAACACTTATCAATTCTAGGAACGCTCTATAGCTTCTACCATCGATTTAGTACGTAAATACAAACGATTAATTCTAACAAAGAAAATGGTTGTCTTATAAATTGAAGTCAGTTGAGAAAAATAAATTACAAGAACATTCATCATTCTCTATCTTACCAAACTAATATTTTGAAGTCATTTACAATCCTTGTCAATCCTCTCCATCCTTTGTTGTCCGTTTTCCAATGATTGCCTTCTTTTGTGTTTTTCTATCTTACCAAACTAATATTTTGTAGTCATTTGCAATTCGTGTCAGTCTTCCCTTTCCTTAAGCCTCCTCTTTCCATATTTATCCATTCTTTCCAAGTTAACTCCGACTGCCCTTTATTGTCAACTGATATTTTTGTGCCCTCCTTCTCGTTGTCAGCATTTTTCTTTTTACTTTATCTCTAGGTTTGAGTATAATCTATTGACAATGAAGAACGTTCTTCTTACAACGTTGGCCGTTTTTTTAATCACTGTAACACTGGTCGGACAGGTTCAGTGTGTTCTCAGAGCTGGAAGAGACAACATAATGATTCCTAGAAAAGGTGTTCGTGAAGAACTCGAAATAATGCATAACCAAGCGAAGCCGGTTTACGCCAAAAAATCAGGTTATAGACGTGCAAGACCTTTGGGCAATGAAAATGAAGGTATGTTGCATTGGTAGCCGAATACACTATTATTTTTTTTCGCAGTTCGTGAGCGGGCGGTATTCTACAAATCCTGCAATCTGATTGGTTCCGAGAGCGGGCAGTATTCTCCCCACCGGGCCCGCTCACAGCGGGCGGTTCTTTTCGCAACCATTTGTTCGGTTTTAGAAAAAAAAAAAATGTTATTCACCAGCCAAGGTCGGTCCGTATTGGGAAAAACTGTGCGGCGGTATCCAAGACCTCGGGCACAGTTTTTCCCAATACGGACCTCTCGTCTTGTGAATAACATATATGTATTCATAATCTCAGCACTGTATTCTTCCCATTTCTGTGTTACTGTTAAGGAGAATATGATTGATGATCAGGAGCCTTTATAATTGGAGAACATTTCCTCTATTCCTATGACGTTTACATTTGATTGACGGGCGATTCTGTGAGCCCGAAAAAAAGATAAGCCTGTCACTCAGGAGGATGAAATGGTTAAATAACTTTTATGATGCCAAATGGTGAATGTTTCTTTTCCTTAGAATTGCCTGATTTTTTTTAATCTAAGATTTTCAATTGTTCTCTTTCAGAAATTATGAATTGACAAAGATGGAATGTGCAGCTCGTTGCTCTCGACTCTTATAGGTAGAAAGCGACAATTGGAACGAAAAAATGCCAGCTATTTTAAACAAACTCAGTTATATCCTTTGCGAGGCGTGTTTTAAAAGCATTAAGCCTTTACTCATTGTGATGATTGCTCTTTCTTTTGTAAAATTCTGCCATTAGATCATATATTCTAATAAACTTGAATCACTATCTTGTTATCGTTGTGTTCAATGTGTACAATGATTTCAGATTATTCTTTAAAGAAAAATAAGGGGAGCAGGCGTTTTTGTCGAGGTTTGCCATTCATTTGCACGAAAAAAAAAGATTAGTTTTCTTTTCCTCTCTTCCCCCTCTCTCCCCCCCTCTCTTCCCCTCTCTCTCCCCCTCTCTCTCCCCCTCTCTCCCCCCCTCTCTTCCCCTCTCTCTCCCCCTCTCTCTCCCCCTCTCTCCCCCCCTCTCTCTCCCCCTCTCTCCTCCCCCTCTCCCCCCCTTAGGACACTAAAAAATATCGATAAAAATTGCCCTGATCTACCATAAATTGTAATTTTTATTCAGAGCTGAAGTGCGTTGTTAATACAAGTTTAGAGCTTTCTTTGTTGTCATGCGCATTATTTGCTATCGATGAGTTACAGATGATCAATTAATTTCGTTGCCATTTTTTCTTCCTTTGTACTCCATCTGTTACAAAATTAAAAAAGTCTCAGTCAGTATGAGAAAATTTGTCCAGTCCGAAAAATAATTATACTTTATCGATGGTTTAATTCTCGAAGCCGAGGTAAGCGAGAGGGTCGAGGAGGGAGTATAGTGGATTTCAGTCCCTTTCAATTTGCTTTTTTTTCTCGGTCAGACTTAGCCAATAAATATTTTATTAGCGAATACCTTTATCAATAGTTTTTGTTTCATCTTCAACTGTTCGTGAACCAGTTTCTATGGTAACAAACTATTTACTTCATAATTAAAATGAGAAGTCATTTTCAAAGCGATTAATGATTCTTTGATCTTTTTTAGGGTAAAAATCAGATGGAAAATTCCTCGAAAAGCAGTTAATTGTCAAAATCAAACGCCTCAAGCCACATTCTCATTACTGGCATTTTCCTGGCTAAGAGAGCGAGTAAAAATATCTGTTCACCATCTGTTACGTTACCTGCAGTGTAGCAATAAGCGTCACCTCGTAATTCTTCTTGAGCTGTTTCCATTGCCGCTGACTCATCTCGTTGCATTTTCTCGATCCGATCTCTACCGGCTCTAAGCAGGGCTTCACCTTGATCAACAAACACACCAGCAACTAGCACGAACACCAGAACTGTGAGAAGTACTTTGTTCATGACGACAAATCTGAAGATGGATCGAAAATTTCGTCAATAATTCCTCGTAAAAGATGAAGAGACACAAAATGAATTATTTGAAATGAGCTTGATGTCCATTGCAGCAACCGATTTTGTGTTAAAGAATCAAGTCCCAGAACTAATGCAAATAATACGATTTTTCTCGATCGAGAAATAGAGGATATTATTCAGAAATAAACTGCGGAAAAAAATTAACAGTGAAGAAATTAAGACAATTAAAACAAGAGTAAAATGAACAAATGTTTTGCCTACAGTAATCTTACGGAATCTATACTTTCAGAATTGTAAAAGTCACATTTAGAACGGAAGAGATTTTTTTCTAAGAATTCTTGTTTAAAGTCTCAACTAAATTGTTGTTTCTCTCAAGGTATAAAGCGAGAAATGTTATTGGAAAACCGAGTTGTGGGATAATTTAAAAATGATCTGTTATTTATCCATGCAAAATAAATCACTGCTGATGATGCTTACCAGAAATTAACTTCAGACGGTGGTTAAATGAATAGATTATCTCACCTTCACTTTGACAACTGTGGTTGATCTTCACTCAAAGCTTTTTTTATATACGAAATGAAACAACAACACTAGCAAAACTTAATTTATCATCCCAGAACACATTCTTGATTTATTCATGGTAGAAAAACACACACAGAGGTGTGAACATTTGATTAATTCAAATATGCGATAAAGATATGAAATATTCCATGATCTTAAAGATTGATACAATCCCTCAGGCGAAGTATTTAACATCCAGATGATTTTTTTTTCTGAGTTGATTTTAAAATATATATTGGTAATTTAGTGTTAACAACTGAGTTGAAAACCTAAATTAGCCACCGTAAAGAGTTTCAAAGCTGATGTTTCGAGCGTTAGCCCTTCGTCAGAGCGAAACATCCAGGTGGTTAACTCCGCGATTAAGAGCCTAAAGATGCGTGTTTATTCTTTTTCAGAGTATTCTTTTGCATCTTATGGTTTTGATATATAAACACCGGGTCTCTCTACTACATCGTATATAAGTACCTTACATAATGTATTAATAACAGGTTTATGAAGAGTTCATCACGCAAATCATATAACGCAAAATGTTTCATTTTGAAGATTCAAATTTTTAAGAACTGGAGTCTGTGTTCGAGAAATCAATATGGCATGTATGGGTTTTGAAGAAATATTTGTTGTTCCCTTTCAAGTTGTTTTTTGTCAAATCCTCTTTAATTGTTAAAGATTATTCATATTTTGGCTACTTGCGTGTTCTTACTGTAGTATGGTTTATGCCTTGTTGATAAACACCAGAAATTAATCATTCAGTTAATTTCCTTCCGCGGAGACATAGATGACAAATTAAGGCCTTGCAGCAATTAATAGTTTGAAAATAGTTCTCATATAAGTGGAATTTTGAGTGGGCTTCAGCTAGTTCTTCAATTATGACACGAAATAATTCTTAGCGGAGGGTAAATTTATTCAAGTTAAATTCCACATAGTCAACTACATCACAGAAATCCCTCCATAAAAAATATATATTGGAGAAAAAAACAATACCTAAAATACCTTTGTCGAAGTAAATTAAACCGAGCGGTGATTTTTAAAATATGATATAAGGTACTGAAGATTGTAAATTTTAGTTGCAAATTATTAGTTTTGATTAAAATTGTGACCAAAACCTTTTTAATCTCAAGTCTAAGTTCAAAAACTCTGAAATTTTCTAATTATAAAATTTCTTGTAAAGAATTCATTTTGATAATTTGGCGTTTCTCTGCCATAGCTCAAGTTATGTCTGTTAACGTGTTGTAATTTCGTTGTTGGATCTTCCGTTAAAAGCAAGCATTTTTTTTTTTAAAAATACATCCACTGGGGCCGCAGAAGTAAAAATTCTGTTTTTGACTTGTGTTTCGAAAAAGAAAGTAATTTTAAACAAAGACATATTTACTTTTGCATGTCGGGTCCTGATCTTAATAATGATAAATCTGATGTTGTATAGATTTGTGCATTTTTTTTTATCCCCCAAGGCATGTTCGCTCCAGGAGGCACACTGAGGTAGTATTCAAACGCATCAAACATTTGAAGGCCATAGCTATTTTTAAGTGCCGGCGATGAGTATTCACTCCTAAGCCTTTTTCATTCACAATAACAACAGGTTACGTATTGATGTAAAGGATTCTGCAGCTAATTTTAGTATCTACTGTGATTATGGGTCAGAAAGATTCTGGATACGTTTAAGAATGGTGAGTTTGTTATGGTAGGACGTGATAAACAACTCTTTTTACTGTTACTTATTTGCTGCTTATAGATAATTTATTTCCGACTGAAACAGCCCACAAATTTGTTCCCAGAAACAAATGCAATCAATTATTCATGAAAGATGTTATCTCAAAGGACACTTTTCTGATAATCGCTGCAAGAGGCGGACATTTAATGTTTCGACACATGGTATACTTGTTTAATGTTTAAAACGACACCTCAGCCATGATAACTAATCACTGAAATGTCATTTGATTCCTTTGAAAGCCCGTTAGCAACACTGTAAGTTGCATCAGATCAGGAATCTGCTGAAAAAATTATAGTAAGAGTCGACGTGGAATGCAAACTTTATTAATTATTTTCAAATCATTTACGCCTTTTAATATCCCCGTCATTTTCACTCCCTGATGAGTTCCGGTTATTCGTGAGACCAAAATTGAGCCGTATTTGCTATGTATCGCACGATCAAAGCATTTTTTTTGGTTCCGCAAATCACGACAAAATTAGATAAAAAAGCCCCCTCAAATAGGGCGCTCTAGGTATTCAGAAAACCATTTTTTACCCATTAATCTTCTTAGATTCAATAACTTGAAAGCGTGATTTCATTTCCAGAATGAGAAAAAACGAATTATTTCCTTTCTGAAGGAGTGCAACAAAGCTTTTCATGTGTTGAAATGAAAAACATTGATATTGTTTTCGTGAAAAGTCATTCACAGCTTGTTCGTGGTATCTAAATGAGCCTACATCCGTTTGCTTATCATTGAGTGCTTGGTGGGCTTAAATGAAAGAGATTTTGCGAGCAGTACTCCACAAGCCGATTTTATAACAAACCGGCGGTTCAAAGGACGGTTGGAAACTCCCAAAAGGTAAGGTTTGTAATAGGAACTACACATGGCTTGCCTTACGTTCCGAAATTCTCCGTCTCATAGTTGACTTAAATTGTATCTTGTTTCTACTTTTTCTTTAGAAGCTCTTGGCTTTCCCCAGTTACTATGTTTAAATGGAAACAAATAAAGATACTAGTTCGGTTTCAATCACATCAGTTTCAAACAAGAACGAATCATCAAATTCAGAGCGACCACACGGTTGATTTTTTTTTCAGTTTTTTTTTTAATCGTCAAGAGCCTAAGAAGATACTTTTTTTCATGTGTTAACGTAATTTTTCTATGTTTCTTCCTGAGAATCATGATCACAGAATTTCAAAGAATAATTTAATGCTAAGTCTTAAAATCAACCCGCGCTTGATGATTATAGAAAATTGTATGACTTCATCATCGACCAATCAGAGTCCGCTAATCCAGGCGTTATAAACACCAGAATTATCACTGTGTAATCACTTTCAGTAATTAACGAATGATGAAATCTTTTTTGAGTTACTTTCTTGGAATAAATTTCTTTTCGTAATAGCTAGAAAAGAATTATCGTTTGGAACTTGCTTACACAAAGAACTGAATTCCCCTCAAAGAGTCTTTTCTTTTAAAGAAGAAGAGAAGTCTTTTATCTACATTATGGCGTTACACTTTGAGATTTGTAGATGAACCCAACAGTTGAAATGACATTAAATTCAGGAATGACAAAGTAATATCGAATGCAACAGAAAAGTGAATGTTAGACTTGCATCATTTATTTTAAAATTTATTGTGCTTGCACTATATGCATATGTACGCCTGTGAATTACACTTGATTTATCTGATACACTGAAAACAGTATGATCAATAAAAATTGTTGATTTTCGCGAAAAATAGCTGTCACAAAAATCCCTTTTTCACTTTAGAATTGACGCCGTGAAAGCAAACTATGGCTGCAGCACTTGTTACTGTTCTGTTGATTATGTTAGTTGCTGGTGAATATATTGATGAAATTGACGGCTTGCTCCGCGCTGGCAGGGATCGAATCGAGAAGGAGTCACGTGACGATTATATGCACAAAAGAGAGGCTGCTGATATGCGCGAATATCGACTTCCTTTTTACTCAAGAAGAAGTGAGTATCTTAAATTTCCCAATAGAGTGTGGGTGTGTCTGGGAGAGAGGGAGGTGGTAACGAGACGCAATGACAGAAGGGTGGCGCATATAAGCTTCATTGAATAACCTACATTAATTTTTTTCTTAGAAGAAATATGGTTTTTGTGCTAATGAAAACTGATATCTGTTTCTGTTTCCAGGCAGAATCCAAAATGCTGAGGAGTGACCTTCAAACTCACAGACATTTCTTAAGCCGATCTTTTATAACCTAAATATGTGATTAGTACCTAAAATACGAGCATTGTAAAGAATAAAAGGATCTTCATCGATCGTAAGAGTTACTTTATAATTGTAGAACGATACTGAACAACATAATTTCTGCAGATTTAAAGGAATTTGTCATTTATCTTGCTATTCGTATATCGAAAGAAGAATTGACTGTCTGTCTCACTGACTGACTCAGTAAATGACTCACTCACTCACATAAAGCCTGACGGAATGATAAACCGCCGGATTGTACTTCATTCTCAGTTCTGTCCTTCTTTCCGTCAGGCTGAATTATTGACTGGGCCTACCGAAGGACTTATTGTTCGGAAACGTCAACAACCGTTGCTCCAATGTAATTTTGTTGTATCAACTGAGGTGGAGTTGATAATGTAAATTGGCCACGGTAAAGAGTAAAAAGCTGGCGTTTCACGTCAAAGCCCTTCATCAGAAGCTTTTAAAACTCTTTACGGTGGCCAATTGACACAACGACCCGATTATCGGTAAACTTCAGTGTCTTTCAGCTTCAGTGTAATTGATAAACTACATCGGATAACAAATTGAATTTTATCAACAGCGATGACAAATTTCTCTCTGGGGAGCTCAAAGATTAACATTTCTCTTCGAAGCTGCAGCGAAAAAATAATGATATTTTCAGTCTGGACATCTTTAAGATCGAAGGATAATGCTCCACTAAGCCTCCTCCAAATTTAATCACATGCTTGAGAGAAAGTTAACAGGGATAATATTCTCTTTGCAAATTAAAGACCCTCTTAGGACGCGACCAGGAAATTTTTTTTCGTATCTTCTTTCTCATAGAATGACTACTCTTTCTATCAATTAAACGTTAGGCAGAGGGGGGATTGTTTCTATATAGAATGCAAGAATGTTTCCTGTACAATGAAATAATTCAAGAAATTTAAGTTTTTTTTCTCCACTGTTTTAATTAAAGTCTCAATTCAAAATTTGCATGTGACTGACTTGCTGTAAGAGAGAATTTGGAAAATCACAAGGTTTTTTCAAATGTTATTTTGAGCAATCTGTATTAACGAGAATATTTAGCTCGATTCGGAAAAATATCTTTGATGAACACAAATGAAATAGTCAACATATTGTCCAGTTTCCATGCATCATTCATGTGCCAAGTCAAAGGACTACTGAAGTCATGGCCATGAACGTATTTCTAGGTGATCTGAATGCCACAACAGATGAGTCAGTGAAGTATCAAAATCTTTTTTACTTAAATCGTGTAAGATTTAAATGAAAAGAAAAAAAATCATTTAAAGAGCAGGTATCAGAGCAATTGTTTAAATACTATGTGTCGGTTAAAGTTCAACGTACGACGATAGTCAATAAATAAATCTATATAATTTATATGATATTTCGTTAAGTTTTTACAATTTTTCCATGGATGTTTTGTCACCTTTCGGCATCGAAAATTAGCTCATTTGTTAGAATTTGAAATGAAATAAACAGATGTTACTTGCTTTGTGGATCACAATTGTATAAATTTCTATTTGAATTATACAATCCGCGACACTTCCTGAGAATGAATGACTTTGATTTAATGAAGATTCCCAAAGCATTGTAAACTATGGAACTGTAAGGCCCTCGAAGTATTTATCAAATTTTATGCATGAAATGAGGACCAATATTTTTCCAGTTTTACGATGCTGTCTGGAATATGACAAAGGCAGGAACCAAAATTAGGCGAAAAGTTTGCCGCTTTTTTTTTTTAATTGAGGGGTTCCACTTCTCTTCTGGATATTTCCAAGGTAGCTAGTAATTATTCATGTCTATCACCGTTATCAGTTTTGTTTTCATTGAAAAGGAAAGATTTGAATAATTTATAAGCGATAGTATTCACTGAAAAGAAATAGTGATTGAAACACTCAGCTATTTACGACCGCGAAAACAGAACGCTTAACATATATTTCTGTGATGCGATTTACAAAACAGTGATGTGGTGTGAGATAAAACTCTTTATTGCTGCGTTGGTTCCGCTTCGTAATTCTTGGTCATGTTGAGCCGAACGGAAAAGATCTGAATATTGTAATACTCTCATCAATGGACACCGACGTTATCGAAAAACCAAAAAATGGTTATCAGTTAAAGAAGTAAATCAGATCGACAAGAAACTAATGAGAATCATGTCAATGGCTTAATGAAGCTCACTTTTCTCAAGCGAATACGAAATGGAAGATTATGTTGAGAGGAAAAAAAAGGAAGAGGTGAAAATCATCCGATTGAGGAACGTTTCCAGTCTGGAAATGATTAAAAGAAATTTTGCAAGGAAATGAAAAAAATTCAAATGAGAAACTAAGGAAACCTCTTACGACTTCTAGTCGACAGGACGTCTGAAATAATATGTAAAAATAAGTTACGAATTTTACCCATCATGTTGATAGGAGACATACCATTGCGTGCTGATGATAAGGAAAGGAAACAAGTCACGAGCTTTGTTTTTAAAAAATGAACCTTTTCGTTTTCTTATCTGGAACTTGTATCAATTACTCCGTACATGTATCCGCTTCTTTGCAAAGTGTGATTCATTGTGTGATTATAAAAAGAGTCTTGTGGCTACTGTTTCGCACATTTCACTTCATATCACTATTTGAAGACGTTTTCAGTCCAAGGAGGTAAGATATTTCCATTTATGTTTGTGACTAACTCAAGAAAGTCTTAGGTTCTGAGTCGTAACATACATTTTGCAATGAAAACGCATACATCACTTTTAGCAGAGCGTTAAGAGTGAAGGGCTACAAGTTAGTTCTCCCTTTCCATCAGAGGAACTGACTTTATGGACATAAAAATAGTTTTTTTTCTTTTCATTTTTAATTTTGTATAAACATTTTGTTTTCCTATAAGAAAAACAAAGCTTTGTTTGTCTAATTCAAATTCTACAATGCCTACCAGTTAATTTTTTTTAATTTCGATTTCAACTTATAGATCTCATTTTTCCCAATCATTCGAAATTAAGGTCCATAAAAACCGTAATCGAAAGTGCTAAAAAGAACTGATCGCCATCTTTTCACAATTAGCTTGTTTATCTTATTATCCATACCATGCATTAGGCAAAAGTTAAATTCACAAAAATCGCGAACGGGCTAAGGTTTGAGGAACTTAGGAAAACTGATTGCAAATGTATATAATTTACACACGTAAAGATTGTCATTTCTTTAATTCACTCGGACCCCCTATTGAACGAACTCAGAGCACAAACGTAAAAAAATTGCCGAGTGATGATATGAGATTCGAGTATTTTTAGGGTTTTAGGGATGTTACTTCATTATAATGGAATCAATACAGTGTTTTTACATCATCAAGAGTCCTAGAATATATAAATACAAGACTTTGAAACTCACTTCTGTTATCACATTTTCCTTCCACCCAATAAGAAATCAGCCATCCTCATCATGAACAAAGCAGTCCTTACAGTTCTAGTGATTATGCTCGTTGCTGGAGTTTTCGTTGAACAGGGAGAAGCCGTCCTCCGAGCCGGTAGAGGTCTGGGGATGGAGAAAGCTCAGCGTGGCTATGAGCTTAAAACAGAGGCCCAAGACTCCACCATGATCACTTGTCAATGCGCCATGCCATCATGTAAGCATGTTAAATTACTGTTAAATATGTAATTTCTCCTCTCTCTCTCTTAATACTTTTAAAGTAAACAGACGAGAAGATTATCAACTAAGAGGTTGACTCGGTGTAGCACTGAATTCATTGGATAACTTGAATATAGAGAAAATGTAGCCATTCGGAAAGGAGAAGTAGAAAACAGATTAATAAAGATGACTAATTTTAAGAAACCCTAAATTACGCTGTTATACATTGAAATTGTTTTGAAGTATTTTTATTTTAAATAGTTTTGAGATAGACCATTCTTTACTGTAAGCGTTGGTAAAAGGTGGTGGGCTTAATCTCATCCCGTGGTGAAAAAAAGAAGGGGGGAGGTACCTTACTGCGATACATTGCAAATGTTCTGTTTATTTCCCTACGGCTGACTCTATTGAAGCACTTGGCCTCCATGTTTTCAACGCAGCAGTAACAATGTAACTACTTTTATCCACCTCATTTTCCAAAGCTATCACATTCAGGCGAATTGATTTTTGTTTTGTTTTGTTTTTTCCATTTAAGACGATTCAGAGAAAAAGAAGTGAAAGACCAACCAATGGTGAGACACGATGACAACGATGGCGTTGATAACCGGTGTACACACGCGGTTCTTAGATACATAGTCCAGCAGAAAAATTGTGTAGAAACAGACTAACATGTAGAGTTGTATGAATGTAGTGAAGCGTAATAAAAGTGCAGATCTCTTGAGAATCAAATACCGACTTGATTATTCATCAGTTTTTATTGCTCTCCTCCTTCTCTCTTCCCACATTCCCTTTTAAGATTACCAAGTTCCATCCTTTCTACCACCTTGCGTCCGTCCACTCCCTTCTCACCCATCTCTCTATTCTCCATGCCTCATTTTCCTCCCGGTCTGCTCCGTCCATCCTCCCTCCCGTTCCTCTTTCCCTCCCATTCCTCCTCTTCCCTCCCTCCTCTTTCACTCCTTCTCCATCTGCCCCCTCTTTTGGCCTCCTCTTTCCCTCTCCTTCCTCTCTCCACCCACTCCTCCCCCATCCTACCTTTCTTTACCTTTTATCCCCTTTCTCCTTCTGTCCCATTCCCTTCTCTTTAGCCTTTTCCCCTTCTATCCTGATGTTCTCTGTTTATACGTCTAAGTTTACTTCATCGCACAACTTGAAGAAATCCCTTTTGGTCGGGTAAACCTGAAATATTCTGCAAGAAGAGGAAGGGAAGGGGAGTATTCAACAATCCTTGCAGGTTCATGTTGCCGCAATCATCAGCGGTTGATCAAACAAACATATAAACATTCACACAACTTCTAAAAAACTAACGCAGTCCGAATGCCTTTCCAAGTATCAAACAGAACTATATCCACTTTTTTTGGTTCAATTATCTCTTTGTCTTCTGTAACATGTCTACGTTGCTCACGAAAGCTGAACGTCAGAATAAAGCAAATGAATGTAAGTCTTTTTTACCTTATATTTTGCTCTACGTCTTTTATCACTTTAAGTTAGCGGTAAGTAAAATAAATTTAGAAATTACGCCTTTTTTTCAGAGATAAAGCATTTACGTGGTCAATCAGTTGTTTAAGTTATTGATCTTTTATAAGCAGCCTTCTAGGTCGATAAACCGATGTAGACACAGTGAAGGATCCAGGGGAAGAATCCGATAGGTACGCACCCCCTTACCCCTAGACCTGAGTATGAAACGAAAACTCTTCAGACAGGATTGCATATAACTACCAACTTAAAGTACAAATCTTGGAGAATTCACCAGCTTATTTAGGTAACTATAGAAAGGGAAACATAAAAGAAACAAATTCCTCTTCTTCTGAATCAGATTTTGAAACCCCCCCCCCCTTCCCCCTCCCATACAAAAATTCCCAGCTCTGCCCTCGATAGACTGCATATACTACATAACTTCAAACAGAGTTACTCGTCTGATTGATATATAATTACTGATAGCGATTACATTTTAATTTCAATTAAAAACAGTAGATATTCAATTAAGATTTTGTTAAAATTGATCGCAAATAGAAATATCTAAATAAATTTCGGAAATAAAAGAGGCAAAAAATAATTGTTTTTATCTTACAAAGAATCAAGCGATATGATGATCAGCAGGGAAAAAACCCAACTAAAAACTAATACCTTGAAGTAAAATATTTACCAAAGCGTATTCCCAACAACAGGAAGAAAAAGAAAGTACTCAATCATCTTTTCATCTTTTTCCCTGAAAAGATTGAGTAGGCACACTCTTTTCGGAAATAGCTCGATAATATACCCACTCTATATCTTGAATAAAGTAACTGCGTAATTGACTTTGTTTCATTGAGGGAAATAACACATACGTTTATCTACTGTATTGTCTTACATTCTACGGCTCTAGAAAATAGCTTATGGTACTATTTATAAAGTTTGCCAGTTGTAATGCCAGAATTCATCGAGGTATTTAAATCTTTTTTTTTCCGCTTTTTTCGTCAATTGGAAACAGTCCCAAAACAAACTAATCCTGTGTATTGCTGAAAACATATCTCTGACTGTAGGTTTGAAAGGAAATGAATAAATAATAATTTACAAGACAAGTCGGCTTTGTTGAAAGAGTAAATTGGGAAGCTTCTATTGTATGGCGCTGATATCTCCTCGGAAACTAAATATTCATAATTACTTCACATCCTTTAACGTAAGTGGATAGATGAGCAACAGATACATAACGGATATTATCTGTTAAAAAGAAGAACAAAATCACAAATCGAACAGTTATTTGTGGACAGGCCACTGAAATTCACCTTCGGGAACAGTTTGAAAGAAGGTAAGACGGTGAGGCATCTTTGTGCACGACAAAATTTCATTTTTCCTTTCGTTTATTCCTAAGATTTCTTTTTGACTTACTTTAAGTTACATTGAGACTACATTTGAAACAATTTCCGTATTAATACTGACACATATATTTCTTTATTACTGAAATTCTTGATGAAAATCCCATTTATTTCGATAGCAAAACTCAATGTTTCGGCAAAAAAATTATCCCCGTTTTATCGTAATACGAATGACCTCAGTTCTGGAGCAAGTTCTATCCCAAATTTACCAGTTACTTCGTCACACATTTACAAGTCTCTTTAACATTGTAGTAAACTTTGTGAAGCCGTTACGCCTTAACTATGAGCAGAAGTACGCTCTTGGATAACCATTTTTAATCAAATTCTGCAAAGTACCTTTTTCTGACAGGAGTTTATCCAGTTTACCTGGCTTTGGCAAAAGAATCTTCACAAAGATATTTGAGTCGCAGTCTAGTTCTTTGAATAAAGAATCAAGTTAAACGAATGAATAGATGAAAATATAAAATGGATGGGTTGATGGATCAGTTCATCGACAGATAAAACAAAACTTTATTTAACCACGGTAGCTTTGATCAAAAAGTACAACATGCAACTTGCACTTTCGAAAAGCCTTAAACTACAAAATCACGATTAAGTCTTTAGAGCATTTACAAGTTTAAAATCAGTATTTGAAAAATAAATCTACTAATTTTCTGTAGACAGAATTATAATCTAATTGTTATATTTAGAATCGATAGTGAGATTGAGAGAATCTAATTGGTTTTAATAAAGATCGATGTCTGGATAGATGATTGGATGACTGAATACATGAATGAATAAATAGATAAATGAATGAATGAAAAAAATTATCAAAGGAAAGGTGAATGCATGTCTGGAACGAATTATGAATAAACAGATCAATGAGTGAATTAATGAATGAATGAAAAATGAAAAAAATGGATATATGGATGAATGGATGATTGTCGGGACTGATGAAAGAATAAGCAAATGCGGTGAATAAGTAAATGAGTGAAGTGATCTTCATTGGCTCATTTCACAACACTTTTTTAATATCCATAAAGATAAACCAGGATCAAACAAACCAGCGGCATGAAGACTCTTCTAACCGTCCTCCTGTTTTTCACATTGGCTACCTTACTCCTGCCCTCGGGAGAGGCGATCCTTCGCGGGGGCCGAGATGTGATTCCGCATGAGAAAACTGAACGAGATGCAGATGCATTGTATGACTTCTTGGAAAGAGCCAGGAAAGTACCTCGTTATCACAAGCGAAATAATAGTAAGTTAATTCAAAGTTCAAACAGTGTTTGAAGGCATTGGTTTCTTCAATTGGTCCTATGATTGGTTTAGAAATCTTGTTGCTCCCTCTCGACCAATCAGATGCATAAATTGAGTGTAGAAAATCCAAAAATCAAAGTTATTCCAGAGACCAATCAGAGCAAGGTTTTTCATGAAAATTAGCCAATGGGAACTCAACGCGGAAACAAGAAAAATGCTTAATGCGTTGGAAACACGAATGAACAAGTCGCGATTGTCCTTAATTTTGCGTCTGATTGGTTGAGAGGATGGCGGGAGTTTTCTGAACCAATCAAATTTTGTTCTAATACTTATTTTTCTGTGTCTTAGAAAAATGGCGGGACGAGAACAAATATGAATCCTGAGCGTACAAGAGGTGAATAAGGCAGCATTCACGATTTTCCACTGTAAACATTCAACAGTAAGAATAAATTGATACATGAAAAGAGATTGAATTCCTGATGAATTTGCAAACTCGTAAAATCCCCTTTTCATTTCCTCGACCACTCGAACAAGCAAAATAAAATTTGGAGACGTCATTTCTGATTGGAACTTCGTAAGCCAAAGTACAAAAGGGTTTTAGATACCCCTGGAGAGGTCTGAGGGCTTCTCTTGTGTACTTTAGGCGATGTTTTGATAGATTTAACTGCAAATATACGCACAATTCGCCTGCATAATAAATGAGACATTCAGTTACATTCCACAATCAGTAATTGCAAACATTTCTTGTCAAGTCGAAATCCAGTGATCTCTAAGCTTTTGATTGAGTTATTCAAAGACAATACTGAAAAAAAACGGCAACAAAACAAAATCAATTGGAAAAAAAACAACAGCATCAACAGCGGCAAAATGTAAAACAACGACAACAACAACAACAGCCAAACAAGAAGTATGATGGCGGTTTCACTGAAGGTGACAGCAATCGCAAATGGAATTTCTGTTTTCGTTGTTGTAATATTTGTTTTCTTTTTCTGTAAAATAAATATAAATATATTTATCAAGATCTAGTCGACAGTTTTCGGATGAGTGCGACAGCTACGAGTTTTGGTCGCTACATTATGAAAGTCTCACGAAATTTTCATAATCGTCTCCGGCTTTGAGGTTTTTGCACGATCCTCATTGGTGCCTTATCGTAAAGCGAGGAGTAAGCCAACTCTCATCACCCCTACCTCCCCTCCCCCGTCCTTCCTCTTTCCACAACAACAAACGCATACTGCATATTGATGATGTTACGTTTGTTATAAAGTCTGATCATTTAACAATGTTTAAATTCAAGAGGATACTTAAACAAGACTAGATCACAAATGACCAAGATTATATTCAATCAAGTTTCGATTCCCCTCTTTTCTTTCAGATAAGCTTTTTGTAGAAGCGACTATTTTAATATAAGGAAAACAATTTTCACAGCCGTTTATTGCAGTAGCTAGACAATTTTTTGTTTATGAAACCTATCTATGTTTACATCAATTCCTTTCGAAGCGTGCTCCCGCCCCTCCTAAAGACACTGAAATGAAAAATTTACCAGGTCTGAATCGGAGTGCTGTTTGCTAAATTTCTCTTGTGGAATGAAAAAACAATTATTTCCTCCCAAAGTAAATCGAGTCGAAGATTTTATCAAAGCCCAGTTGGTGACTTGTGTCTCTCGGGGATTTTGGTATTATAATTTAACCCTTTGTAACCACGAGAAGTAAATTCTTCTGCTAATTTTTTCAAAACTCTTCTCTTTTTTTGGTCTAATTATTCTAGTTATTTCATCACGTTTTGTTTGGGTTCAGTGCTGTTATTCAAAATATTCGTAGGTTTTTTTTCTCGGCGTCGCGTTACGTAATCGTCTATTGTCAGTTACATAAGTTCATTTTCTGGTTCAAATTTGTATAAAAGTTGGCATTCTTTCCTTGTAAGTTAGTTTTTTTAGTTTTTTCCGGAGTTGCCGTACAGATCCTGTAAGTATTCTATTTTTTTTTTCTTCTTGTATATTTTCGCTTGTTTCTATCGCATTTGTACATTTTGTTTGTTGTTTGAGTCTTTTAGCCTGTCGAAGTCATATTTAGTAATTCGATATTTGTTATATATATAATTGTTCTACTGAAATGTTTGTCAATAAAGTACAACTTTAAAACTGTACGTAGAGTGTAATCTACATCCTTATTTACAAAGTTATCTCTCAATAACCAGTGGTAGATCAGAAACATGATTTCAGGGAAGTTTCAGGTAAGTATCATGAAGAACGAAGAATCTGGGTTGTGATAATCTATGTGTTTATAAAACCAATAGAAAGATAAAACTCTAAAATAATGAAGAATAATAGCTGAATAATTTATATATTGATCATGTGGTTATGGTTAGGTGAATGGCAAAGAGGGTACATACAATAAATTATGGGCTTGTTTGCCTCTATGGATTTGTTTATTACCAGCTGGGCTTTTGGCTTGAAACCTTTTCTGGCAGAAGTAAAACAACAGTTTTTTTTCTCTGTTTAACTTTTTGTGAAATCAGCAGTAATTTTGTTTTAAAACGAGCGTTATGTTCATTTAGAATCGTAAATCGTACAATGTTTGCCATAGAATGAAAATAAAAACCCTTTTATCTATATTTTGCAAAATAAATCAATAAATTAGTTTTTTGTAATGCAAGTATGGCCAGTATACAATTTTGCATCAGTCATTCCAAATATCACTACAAAGAGGAAGATCAAAGGTGGATGTAGCAAACCCTCGGGGATCACATTTGTTATTTCAGTCATTGTAAATTTCAATACCAAAGTGAATTTTTCGCTCAGAAATCAATGATTTATTTTCTCAACAAACCTCTCAGAACCTTTCTTTAAAGTACGTCACCATTGCTCCGATAACAACTTTTTGATTCTGTGTTGCCAACTTACGGTGAAAGCAAGCCAATGAAATAAAACTGATATTGAAAATGACAGACTCGCAACAGTTTCAATAAAAACTTGATAAGAATCTTAATTCATTTAGAGTACCTCATTGAAAACTACAGTTTATTGTTTAGTTTCAAGGGACTCGTTAACAGCCTTTTCATCTAGCCTAATCCTACGCCTCAAAGTTCACTTCCTTCGGTTTTATCTAATCACTTAGATTAGAACATTTCAGGTTTGCAGTGAGCTAAAATAAAAACTCTGGATTATCATCTTGTTGAGAGAAGAATGATATGATGAAAAATTCATTGAAAAAGGACTTTTATGCAGAATGAAATATACCCTGTAATTTAGAGACCTTTTCTTAGCTACGACGGAGAGAACTTTTTCTTTAATTCTTCCTAAAAAAAGCCGACAATTGCTTTCCTCTTTTCTTAAATCTGAAGGCTTCCCCACACTTAATTCCTTTTCATCCGAAGTGATTTTCTTGGGAGCAAAAAAATCAAAGAAAAAGGTAATTTAATCCTTTCAAATCTCCTATTTTGATATATGTAAATTTTTATCTTAAGTGATCTGAGCTATAAATAAGTATTTCCTTATAGACAAAGTTTGCCTATTACCTCGGGACACTTTGTCAGGTTAGCAAAAACACGTGTTTCCTTTATATTCGTGCGATCTTTTTCCTGATCTTTTTCTCGTCATGAGAACAAAAACTTAGTAGAAACGTGTCAATTTCGCTTCCTAAGATTCAACAGAAATCTAAAATCTTTTGTTCTCTTATCGATCGGATTCAAGTCCTACGACTCTGTATCCGTTTTATTGATTGAATTTTGTGAATAGCATCCAGCTATAAATTAACAATTTTATGTTTCATCTTTTCATTGTGAAGGAAAGAAAGGACATTGACAGAGCTGACAGAACGAACATCAGATAGTAAAAGTAAGTTCCGTTTAAGTTCAACATAGACAGCTAAGAATGGTAAAAATGCTCTTCTAAGTTAAGGTTGTGAGTAAGGATTTTGTGAACTCGGTTCTTGTTGGGTTTTTTTGGTTAAAAAACGTTTTTCTTGCCAATACTTTTAAAGTTGCAGTCATTATTAATACACGATTTAAATAATAACCATTACATACTCACTTCTTGTAATTAACATCTAAATTATATACCTAGTCCTCTTGAATTTTGTTTTGGCCAAATAAGAAATTTTGCTATCAATAATTTTTATTGCCGGCATACCAGTTCATTCTATTTTCCTTAAGTTACTTCGTGTATTTTATCTTCATTTAAATTTCCGTGAAATTAAATAAGTTCACTTTGATAATTGTTATCCATTATTAAGTGAGGAAAATACACTCTACTTTTCGTGAGGAAGCAAATTATTTTCGTGATTGAACAAAGTTTATTTGTTTTTCTTGGGACAAAGAAGCAACTCCTATCGAAAAATTCCAAATAATCCTTGGTACAGTAAAATTTATTCAGATGAAAATTAGACCAAACGTGATAATCTTTTTAGTTCTCATATATTTGCAATTGTTTTATTTTAACAACATTTTTCACCTTTTACATAAGGAAACTTAAATCCGTTTTGAGATCTTCAAACCTACATGATTTTTTACAATTTTTCGTAGTCTGTTCTATATAAATGATGAGCCTTTGAGATGGCTGATGGGAGAAAAGACTTCTTTTTTGCTGTCCCTTTTCTCTAGCTTAGTAAACATAAACCAAAAAAAATTAGGGTAAAAGAATTCACATTACCTACAAAACCAGTTTTGGAGAAAATATCATGGCTTATGATATGCTAATTAACTTTAAAGGACGACAAAAGATCAAACAAATGCCCCTCAAACGGGCTTTAGAAAGATTATTGGAAATTAAACATGGATAACTATTGCAGAAACCCAAAGCACATTTCTGAAAAAAAAGTGAAAACTAAATTTTCGTTTGAGATGCACAATTTGTATCTGAGTAAAAAGTAATACTTTAATGGCGGATCTTTAGATGGCCACCGTTAATTCTGATACTTTGACACTTTCAAAACTGTAACAAAAGATCATTGAAGTTCTTTCCGAAAGGAGAAAACGTCAGTGATAAAATTATCAACGTCTAGCAGCTGAAATTGAAAAGCAAAAATGAAGTCTTTCAACTGAACTCAGGAAAACTCTATTGCTTCTAAAAAAATAGTTAACCTTTTCTGAGATTCTTATGTGGCGGGCATGACAGAGACTTTCATCGGAAAAATTGGGTCTTAAATGTTGTATCATGTATCTAAAACACCTTTCCAAAACAGAGGTGGTCAAAACGGCCAATCACAACAAGTGTAATATGTATGTTAAGGAGGCAATGAAACCTCAAAGTGGAAATAGGCAAATGGTCTAAATTAGGCTATCCAAGATGCAACTGGGTTTATTTCTTTGAATTTGAAGACCAATCAGAAGCAGCAGTGACAAAATATCAATAATAACAATCAGTTCCCTAGGTGAGGATCGTAGAGTAAATTTTAAAAAAATAGGAAAAAGACATGCCATTTGACAACATAATGAAATTAACCGTGCATAAACTCGCAATTTTTTTAAGGAAG